CATTCCCTTCTGCCATCCTGCGACGCGGCTCGCAGGGCGCAGGCTGCCCATGATACCGCCTCGATCATCCTTCCCTCTCACAGCCCCGTGCGACCGGGATGCAGTTCACCGACGCACAGTGGCAGACGCTCGACTCGGTGGACTGGACAGAGTACTTCTCGCCCGAGCGTATCCATACACGCCCTCTCCGACGTGTCCCGGAGAGGGTCCGCGGAGGATATCTTGACGTCCTCAGTGCGATCCTAGTCCGCATTGCCCAGGACCCGGAGGCTGCTGGCCCTACCTTCCTCCTCGCTGCAGCGCCGACTCTTTTCCTTGTTCCAGCGACGCCACCCGACCGCATCGCACAGACGGCTGCCATTGCAACGCGCATCTCTCGCTTGGTCGAGGTGAGTGGGCTGAGCTAGTCTCAGATGCACTAGGCCGTCGCACACCCCTTCCTCGCCGCACAGGTCACCGGTCACGCACCGCCACCGATCCCTCTGCAGCAGATGAGCGCCGCATTGCACGTTGCCTTCGTCTGGCAGCGTGCAATGAGACCTCACGGGCGTGCGCGGCTCTCGAGTCCGCGGAGGCAGCCCCAGATACACAGGGGACGATACAGCGCCTGCAGTCGAAGCACCCCAACGCGGAGAGGCCGACCCCAGCTTGGCTGTCTGGCTTCCAGGGGTCCCCTCTCGTGCTCTCGGTGGATCACTTACGCCGCGCGATTTTCACAGCTCCGCGGGGCTCTTCGGGAGGACCGTCCGGGTTGGGTCGCTGAGCACCTGCGAGACACTTTCCTAGCTTTCCCTCAGAGTCTCCATTTCCTCCTGGCCGTGTACCAGCAGTGGCTCCGAGGCCGTTGCGCTCCAGCTGCGCGCTCCTTGCTAGCGTCCTCCACCCTCGTGGCTCTGGCGAAGTCGAACATGGATGTTCGGCCGATTGCCATCGGCGAGGTTTTGGTCCGCATTCTTTCTCGGGCAGTTTGTCTCCAGCTACGTGACCAGATGGCGAGGGTCTTCTTGGCATCACAGCAGTTTGGGGTGGGGGTTACGTGCGGGACAGAGGTCGTAGTTAGAGGCGTCCGCCGCGCTCTGGCTGACCACCCAGACTGGGTGGTCCTGCAGCTAGACGTGGCGAATGCCTTTAACTCTTTCCACCGAGACAGGATGTTTCAGGCGCTGCAGGCCAGTCCGGAGTTTCAGTGTCTGATCCCCTTCATCGGCCTCTTCTACGGGACGCCCTCGGATCTCCACTACAGGTCAGGCACGGGAGTGGTCACGATGCACTCGGAGCGGGGCACTCGCCAGGGAGACCCTCTCAGCCCCTTCTTGTACGCTCTGACACAGCGTCTTGCTTTGGAGCCGGTTCTGGCGGAGGGGGATGTCCAGCTCTGGTCGTACGCCGATGACACGTACGTGCTAGGTCCCCCAGACAGGGTGCTGCACCATTTTGCCGAGATCGTGAGGCGCTTGGGCGAGATGGGCCTTGCAGCCCAGCCGCACAAGTGCCTCGTCTACCAGACAGAGTCCTTTCTGTCCAGGGATCTGGAGGCTTTCACGGGCCTAGGGATCGAGGTCGCACGCCGAGGGCTCACCGTGACAGGCGTACCGGTAGGCACCGTTTCGTTCGTGGAGCAGAGTCTCCCGGATCGTCTCGAGAGGATGGGGCGGGTGCTACCTTGGCTTCCGAGGTTGCGCCAGCCCCAGACAGCTGCCCGCCTTCTTTCGGCGTGTGTCAGCACTCGTCCGCAGTACCTGTCGAGGACCGTCCCTCCTTCGCCCGCAGTGATCTCCAGTTTTACACGGTGGGACGCACGCCTGGGAGAGACTTTTCAGCAGCTTTTAGCTTCAGGGACCTGGGCTTGTCGCGAGGACGTCCGAGAGGCCGCCCTAGACCAGATCTTCCTCCCCATCCGTCTCGGGGGTTTCGGCATTCGTCGCATGGCGCGCATGGCCCGGTGAGTTTCGTGTGCTCCTGGGTGCAGTGTGCACCCATTCTCTGTTCTCTCCCTGCGTGTGGCGAGGTGTTTCGGCAGAGCTTCGCTTCAGGTGAGCCAGAGCAGATCGACCGGGCTCTGCAGACGGCGCTAGAGGGTCTCCCTCCTGACGTTCTCTCTCTCCTTCCCCCCTGGCCCTCTTGCGCTTCTGCCTCCCCCGATTCCCTTTTTGCAGGAGCGAGCCGTCTTCTGGAGGCGCATGCCTTGGAGGCCGTGCGTGCCCGTCACACCTCTCCCTTGCACCTTGCCCGTTTGACTTCCCTTCAGGGCGGAGGTGCAGGAGCGTGGTTGACGTCGGTGCCGTACGCCGACCCACTGCGCATCCCGGAGGCGCTGTGGCAGGCGGCTTCATCTTCTCGTCTTGGTCTCCCTATCCCCCAGTTAGCCCTTGCAGGTCAGTGCTCCTGCGGACAGGCGATTGACGACATGACGGTGCCTCATCACGCGGTTCGGTGCCCGCGTTACGGGGTCGCCACTACCATCCACGACACGGTGAAGTACATGCTTCGAGACTTTGCGGTCGAGGCGGGCTTCGCGGTAAAGGTGGAGGACTCTACGCTGTTCACACAGTTGGAGGCGGCTCGAGCGAGACTACTGGGACAGCCAGTGGTGGGAGAGGGGACACGGGCTGAGGGACCGGGGGAGCGGAGAGGCGAGGCGGGACAGCCGGGTGGCGGGGGACAGTGGGGACGGCACCAGCTGCGGGGTCAGGTGGAGCGAGGGACAGGTGGGCAGAGGGGACGGCAGGGGGAGCAGACGGGCCAGGACGGGGAGGGGGGACGGCACAGGCAGCAGCAGGAGAGCCAGTGGAGGCCGCGGGCCCAGGGCGCCGCGCCTCCAGGTTCGGCCTCGGGGGCGGGGCAGGGGCGGGAGCAGCAGAGAGCGGACGGAGGTACAGGAGGGGCAGCGGGATTGGGAGGGGAGGGCCAGGGAGTGAGAGAGGCAGCAGGGGATGGAGCAGGGGGGTCGGGAGGTTTGGGGGAGGGTAGGGAGGGGGAGGGGAGAGGACAGGTGGATGGAGGAGAGGAGAGGGGGGAGAGAGACGATCGGAGAGGGGGCACCAAGGGACCAGACAGGGCAGCAGCCAGCGCAACAGCAGGGACCAGTCGGACGCACAGGCCGTGTAGGCACCGCCTCCCGCATTCCAGACCTCACCTGCCGCGACGTTGGCCAGGGTCTGATGGTTCTTGTGGATGTCTCCATAGCGGATCCACAGCGGGAGGGGAACGTGCAGCTGAGACGGGCGACCCCCACACAGATTGGAGTGGCAGCAGCTAGGCGGGTGCAGGAGAAGCTGCGTCACTGGGGGCCGCACTTAGAGGGGCTGCAGCCGGCACCACACTTTTACGCGTGCGTGGCGGAGACCTTTGGCCTTCTGAGTGAGCCGCTGCGTCAGTTTCTGGGGCTCTGCGCAAAGAGGATAGCACAGCGGAGGAGGGATAGAGGTGGGGGGGATGACGGATCGGCACGGATATTTGAGGCAGGACTCACTACACGCCTCTCCGTTGCACTGCAGCGCGCGCAGGCTCAATGCATGATCCAGCATGCGGTGCGGCAGTTAGGGAGGTCCGACGACGGGTGGATGCCCGCACCAGTCCCACTGGGTGCGGGGCAGGGAACTTGGCACCACGTCACAGGGTGCTTCGAGAGTGTGGCTGATATGCAGTATATATATGATGCATATGTGTAAAAAACAATAGTGGCTGTGCTTGAAACGCTGTGCCCGTGCGGTCGTGCGGGTTGCTGCCGTGTTTGGTCCTTTGGTGCTTCCTTCTCCTTAGTCTCTCTCTCTCTCTCCTCTTCTCTTCCCACCTCCCTCTTTCTGTTCCCTTCTTCTATCCTTCCCTTCTCTTCCTACCACCCTCTTCCTTTCCCTACCACTTCTTCTTACTCCTTCATCTTTCCTTCCTTTCCTTTCTTTCCCCCTTTTCCTACAAAATATATAAATCGTCCTCATAGCGCTTAGGCTATGTCGAAATTTCCTAGTCTTGGAAAAACCATTATATTCGGCTTGTATTTGCTCTTCCCTTATTAATGAATAACTGCTCTCGCCCACCGGCGCTTAGCTTCGGAGTTCTGATGGGATCCGGCGTAGTAGCCGAGGTATGATCGTACCACGTCAACCTCGTGCCCCGACCGCTACACACCCCTTGCCCGGGTCCCCCCCTTCATAGTCACACCCCCTGCCCCCTCATGCCATCCGCTCCCCCCGCCCCTACCCTCCGCGTGCCCGCTCCCTTGCCGCCTCTTTTGACCCTCCCTGCCCCCCCTCGCCGTTTCCCACCGCCCGCCATTCGCTCCTCCCCGCCCGTGCGCTCCCCTCCTTTACCTTCTCCTCCCCCCTCCCCTCCTCTGCTGCACGCCTCTTCCTTCCCCTCGCCGACCCACTCCACTCCCTGCCCCTCCTCAATCCGCACCCTGCCCCTCGTATCTCGCCCCCCTATGCTTGGTTTCTCCCCTCCCTGCCCCTCGCCGCCTTTCCCCGCTCCCCACCTCCCCCCTCTCCCTGCCCCCCCCACTCTCCCCCCCCCCTTGTCCTTGGCTTCCTACCTCCCTGCCTCACCTTTCCCCCCTCCGTGTGCTCAGCTTCTCCCCTCCCTGCCCCTCCCTCCTCCCCGCCCTGCCCCTCATTTTCCGCCCCCCCCCCCCCCACGCCCGGTTTCTCCCCTCCCCGCGCCTCCCTTTCTTTCTCCGTGCCTCTCCTTTGCTCCCTCCCTGCCCCCGCCTGCCCATGCCCCTGTCTTTGGCTTCTCCCCTCCCTGCCCCACGTTTCTTCCCTCCCTGCCCCCCGTCTGCCCCTCCCTTGTTTTCCCCTCACCCATTGCTTCTCTCCTCCCTGCCCTTGATTTCCCACACCCCTGCCCTCGTTTCCTATCATCCATGCCCCTCGTTTCCCCCCTTTGTACGTTCAGCCTCTTCCCTCCCTGCCCCTCCCTTCCTCCCCCCCTGCCCTTTGCTCTCCCCTCGTTACGCTCCCTTCTCCCCATCCCTGCTGCCCTCTTACCACCATCAGCCCATCCCCACGACCAGCCCCCCTCCCACCCTTCAATCCCCCCCTCCCTCTCTCTCTCTCTCTCTCTCTCTCTCTCTCTCTCTCTTTCTCACACACACACACACACGCACACTCCCCTCCCCCACCCCCCCCCACCTACATCCTCCCATTCTGCCCCTCCCTGCCCCTTTCCCACCCCCTCGCACGCCCCTCACCTCCCACCTCCGTGCAACTGGTTTCCCCCCTATGGTGCCACCCTTGCATCGCTCGCCCCTCTGCTCACCCTCTGCCCGCCCCTTTTCCGTGCCCTCAGTTGGCCCAGCCCCTGCCCGTTGCTGCCCCTCCCCTTGCCCCCTCAACTCCCCTGCCCCCCGTACACCCCAAGTCCCATCCAACCGCCCCCACCCTCCCCCGGCTGCCCGTTTCCGCTCTCCACCCCCGCGACCGTGTGCGGCTTCCAACCGCCCAACGGTGGTGCGCACGGGGCGTTTCTTCGCATGGGCAAGCCTCCCCGGGGGCCCCCCACCCCGCTGGGTCGTTGTTTGGGCAAAAAAAACGAAAAGAAAAGAATCGGACGCGCTAAAATCGTCCTTTCTTTTTCCCGCTTGCCCCTCCCCCGGCACGTGCCGAGCAAGGGGCATAAATGGGTACAACACGAGGACTTCCCGGGAGGTCACCCAGCCCAGTACTGCTCTCGCCCACCGATAGTGGCTGTGCTTGAAACGCTGTGCCCGTGCGGTCGTGCGGGTTGCTGCCGTGTTTTGGTCCTTTGGTGCTTCCTCCTCCTTAGTCTCTCTCCCTCTCTCCTCTTTTCTTCCCACCTCCCTCTTTCTGTTCCCTTCTTCTATCCTTCCCTTCTCTTCCTACCGCCCTCTTCTTTTCCCTACCACTTCTTCTTACTCCTTCATCCTTCCTTCCTTTCCTTTCTTTCCCCCTTTTCCTACAAAATATATATACCGTCCTCATAGCGATTAGGCTATGTCGAAATTTCCTAGTCTTGGAAAAACCATTATATTCGGCTTGTATTTGCTCTTCCCCTATTAATGAATAACTGCTCTCGCCCACCGGCGCTTAGCTTCGGAGTTCTGATGGGATCCGGCGTAGTAGCCGAGGTATGATCGTACCACGTCAACCTCGTGCCCCGACCGCTACACACCCCTTGCCCGGGTCCCCCCCTTCATAGTCACACCCCCTGCCCCCTCATGCCATCCGCTCCCCCCGCCCCTACCCTCCGCGTGCCCGCTCCCTTGCCGCCTCTTTTGACCCTCCCTGCCCCCCCTCGCCGTTTCCCACCGCCCGCCATTCGCTCCTCCCCGCCCGTGCGCTCCCCTCCTTTACCTTCTCCTCCCCCCTCCCCTCCTCTGCTGCACGCCTCTTCCTTCCCCTCGCCGACCCACTCCACTCCCTGCCCCTCCTCAATCCGCACCCTGCCCCTCGTATCTCGCCCCCCTATGCTTGGTTTCTCCCCTCCCTGCCCCTCGCCGCCTTTCCCCGCTCCCCACCTCCCCCCTCTCCCTGCCCCCCCCACTCTCCCCCCCCCTTGTCCTTGGCTTCCTACCTCCCTGCCTCACCTTTCCCCCCTCCGTGTGCTCAGCTTCTCCCCTCCCTGCCCCTCCCTCCTCCCCGCCCTGCCCCTCATTTTCCGCCCCCCCCCCCCACGCCCGGTTTCTCCCCTCCCCGCGCCTCCCTTTCTTTCTCCGTGCCTCTCCTTTGCTCCCTCCCTGCCCCCGCCTGCCCATGCCCCTGTCTTTGGCTTCTCCCCTCCCTGCCCCACGTTTCTTCCCTCCCTGCCCCCCGTCTGCCCCTCCCTTGTTTTCCCCTCACCCATTGCTTCTCTCCTCCCTGCCCTTGATTTCCCACACCCCTGCCCTCGTTTCCTATCATCCATGCCCCTCGTTTCCCCCCTTTGTACGTTCAGCCTCTTCCCTCCCTGCCCCTCCCTTCCTCCCCCCCTGCCCTTTGCTCTCCCCTCGTTACGCTCCCTTCTCCCCATCCCTGCTGCCCTCTTACCACCATCAGCCCATCCCCACGACCAGCCCCCCTCCCACCCTTCAATCCCCCCCTCCCTCTCTCTCTCTCTCTCTCTCTCTCTCTCTCTTTCTCACACACACACACACACGCACACTCCCCTCCCCCACCCCCCCCCACCTACATCCTCCCATTCTGCCCCTCCCTGCCCCTTTCCCACCCCCTCGCACGCCCCTCACCTCCCACCTCCGTGCAACTGGTTTCCCCCCTATGGTGCCACCCTTGCATCGCTCGCCCCTCTGCTCACCCTCTGCCCGCCCCTTTTCCGTGCCCTCAGTTGGCCCAGCCCCTGCCCGTTGCTGCCCCTCCCCTTGCCCCCTCAACTCCCCTGCCCCCCGTACACCCCAAGTCCCATCCAACCGCCCCCACCCTCCCCCGGCTGCCCGTTTCCGCTCTCCACCCCCGCGACCGTGTGCGGCTTCCAACCGCCCAACGGTGGTGCGCACGGGGCGTTTCTTCGCATGGGCAAGCCTCCCCGGGGGCCCCCCACCCCGCTGGGTCGTTGTTTGGGCAAAAAAAACGAAAATGAAAGAATCGGACGCGCTAAAATCGTCCTTTCTTTTTCCCGCTTGCCCCTCCCCCGGCACGTGCCGAGCAAGGGGCATAAATGGGTACAACACGAGGACTTCCCGGGAGGTCACCCAGCCCAGTACTGCTCTCGCCCACCGATAGTGGCTGTGCTTGAAACGCTGTGCCCGTGCGGTCGTGCGGGTTGCTGCCGTGTTGTGGTCCTTTGGTGCTTCCTCCTCCTTAGTCTCTCTCCCTCTCTCCTCTTCTCTTCCCACCTCCCTCTTTCTGTTCCCTTCTTCTATCCTTCCCTTCTCTTCCTACCACCCTCTTCTTTTCCCTACCACTTCTTCTTACTCTTTCATCCTTCCTTCCTTCCTTTCTTTCCCCCTTGTCCTACAAACTATATATACCGTCCTCATAGCGATAAGGCTATGTCGAAATTTCCTAGTCTTGGAAAAACCATTATATTCGGCTTGTATTTGCTCTTCCCCTATTAATGAATAACTGCTCTCGCCCACCGGCGCTTAGCTTCGGAGTTCTGATGGGATCCGGCGTAGTAGCCGAGGTATGATCGTACCACGTCAACCTCGCGCCCCGACCGCTACACACCCCTTGCCCGGGTCCCCCCCTTCATAGTCACACCCCCTGCCCCCTCATGCCATCCGCTCCCCCCGCCCCTACCCTCCGCGTGCCCGCTCCCTTGCCGCCTCTTTTGACCCTCCCTGCCCCCCCTCGCCGTTTCCCACCGCCCGCCATTCGCTCCTCCCCGCCCGTGCGCTCCCCTCCTTTACCTTCTCCTCCCCCCTCCCCTCCTCTGCTGCACGCCTCTTCCTTCCCCTCGCCGACCCACTCCACTCCCTGCCCCTCCTCAATCCGCACCCTGCCCCTCGTATCTCGCCCCCCTATGCTTGGTTTCTCCCCTCCCTGCCCCTCGCCGCCTTTCCCCGCTCCCCACCTCCCCCCTCTCCCTGCCCCCCCCACTCTCCCCCCCCCTTGTCCTTGGCTTCCTACCTCCCTGCCTCACCTTTCCCCCCTCCGTGTGCTCAGCTTCTCCCCTCCCTGCCCCTCCCTCCTCCCCGCCCTGCCCCTCATTTTCCGCCCCCCCCCCCACGCCCGGTTTCTCCCCTCCCCGCGCCTCCCTTTCTTTCTCCGTGCCTCTCCTTTGCTCCCTCCCTGCCCCCGCCTGCCCATGCCCCTGTCTTGGCTTCTCCCCTCCCTGCCCCACGTTTCTTCCCTCCCTGCCCCCCGTCTGCCCCTCCCTTGTTTCTCCCCTCACCCATTGCTTCTCTCCTCCCTGCCCTTGATTTCCCACACCCCTGCCCTCGTTTCCTATCATCCATGCCCCTCGTTTCCCCCCTTTGTACGTTCAGCCTCTTCCCTCCCTGCCCCTCCCTTCCTCCCCCCCTGCCCTTTGCTCTCCCCTCGTTACGCTCCCTTCTCCCCATCCCTGCTGCCCTCTTACCACCATCAGCCCATCCCCACGACCAGCCCCCCTCCCACCCTTCAATCCCCCCTCCCTCTCTCTCTCTCTCTCTCTCTCTCTCTTCTTCTCACACACACACACACACGCACACTCCCCTCCCCCACCCCCCCCACCTACATCCTCCCATTCTGCCCCTCCCTGCCCCTTTCCCACCCCCTCGCACGCCCCTCACCTCCCACCTCCGTGCAACTGGTTTCCCCCCTATGGTGCCACCCTTGCATCGCTCGCCCCTCTGCTCACCCTCTGCCCGCCCCTTTTCCGTGCCCTCAGTTGGCCCAGCCCCTGCCCGTTGCTGCCCCTCCCCTTGCCCCCTCAACTCCCCTGCCCCCCGTACACCCCAAGTCCCATCCAACCGCCCCCACCCTCCCCCGGCTGCCCGTTTCCGCTCTCCACCCCCGCGACCGTGTGCGGCTTCCAACCGCCCAACGGTGGTGCGCACGGGGCGTTTCTTCGCATGGGCAAGCCTCCCCGGGGGCCCCCCACCCCGCTGGGTCGTTGTTTGGGCAAAAAAAACGAAAATGAAAAGAATCGGACGCGCTAAAATCGTCCTTTCTTTTTCCCGCTTGCCCCTCCCCCGGCACGTGCCGAGCAAGGGGCATAAATGGGTACAACACGAGGACTTCCCGGGAGGTCACCCAGCCCAGTACTGCTCTCGCCCACCGATAGTGGCTGTGCTTGAAACGCTGTGCCCGTGCGGTCGTGCGGGTTGCTGCCGTGTTGTGGTCCTTTGGTGCTTCCTCCTCCTTAGTCTCTCTCCCTCTCTCCTCTTCTCTTCCCACCTCCCTCTTTCTGTTCCCTTCTTCTATCCTTCCCTTCTCTTCCTACCACCCTCTTCTTTTCCCTACCACTTCTTCTTACTCTTTCATCCTTCCTTCCTTCCTTTCTTTCCCCCTTGTCCTACAAACTATATATACCGTCCTCATAGCGATTAAGGCTATGTCGAAATTTCCTAGTCTTGGAAAAACCATTATATTCGGCTTGTATTTGCTCTTCCCCTATTAATGAATAACTGCTCTCGCCCACCGGCGCTTAGCTTCGGAGTTCTGATGGGATCCGGCGTAGTAGCCGAGGTATGATCGTACCACGTCAACCTCGTGCCCCGACCGCTACACACCCCTTGCCCGGGTCCCCCCCTTCATAGTCACACCCCCTGCCCCCTCATGCCATCCGCTCCCCCCGCCCCTACCCTCCGCGTGCCCGCTCCCTTGCCGCCTCTTTTGACCCTCCCTGCCCCCCCTCGCCGTTTCCCACCGCCCGCCATTCGCTCCTCCCCGCCCGTGCGCTCCCCTCCTTTACCTTCTCCTCCCCCCTCCCCTCCTCTGCTGCACGCCTCTTCCTTCCCCTCGCCGACCCACTCCACTCCCTGCCCCTCCTCAATCCGCACCCTGCCCCTCGTATCTCGCCCCCCTATGCTTGGTTTCTCCCCTCCCTGCCCCTCGCCGCCTTTCCCCGCTCCCCACCTCCCCCCTCTCCCTGCCCCCCCCCACTCTCCCCCCCCCTTGTCCTTGGCTTCCTACCTCCCTGCCTCACCTTTCCCCCCTCCGTGTGCTCAGCTTCTCCCCTCCCTGCCCCTCCCTCCTCCCCGCCCTGCCCCTCATTTTCCGCCCCCCCCCCCCACGCCCGGTTTCTCCCCTCCCCGCGCCTCCCTTTCTTTCTCCGTGCCTCTCCTTTGCTCCCTCCCTGCCCCCGCCTGCCCATGCCCCTGTCTTTGGCTTCTCCCCTCCCTGCCCCACGTTTCTTCCCTCCCTGCCCCCCGTCTGCCCCTCCCTTGTTTCCCCTCACCCATTGCTTCTCTCCTCCCTGCCCTTGATTTCCCACACCCCTGCCCTCGTTTCCTATCATCCATGCCCCTCGTTTCCCCCCTTTGTACGTTCAGCCTCTTCCCTCCCTGCCCCTCCCTTCCTCCCCCCCTGCCCTTTGCTCTCCCCTCGTTACGCTCCCTTCTCCCCATCCCTGCTGCCCTCTTACCACCATCAGCCCATCCCCACGACCAGCCCCCCTCCCACCCTTCAATCCCCCCCTCCCTCCTCTCTCTCTCTCTCTCTCTCTCTCTTTCTCACACACACACACACACGCACACTCCCCTCCCCCACCCCCCCCCACCTACATCCTCCCATTCTGCCCCTCCCTGCCCCTTTCCCACCCCCTCGCACGCCCCTCACCTCCCACCTCCGTGCAACTGGTTTCCCCCCTATGGTGCCACCCTTGCATCGCTCGCCCCTCTGCTCACCCTCTGCCCGCCCCTTTTCCGTGCCCTCAGTTGGCCCAGCCCCTGCCCGTTGCTGCCCCTCCCCTTGCCCCCTCAACTCCCCTGCCCCCCGTACACCCCAAGTCCCATCCAACCGCCCCCACCCTCCCCCGGCTGCCCGTTTCCGCTCTCCACCCCCGCGACCGTGTGCGGCTTCCAACCGCCCAACGGTGGTGCGCACGGGGCGTTTCTTCGCATGGGCAAGCCTCCCCGGGGGCCCCCCACCCCGCTGGGTCGTTGTTTGGGCAAAAAAAACGAAAATGAAAAGAATCGGACGCGCTAAAATCGTCCTTTCTTTTTCCCGCTTGCCCCTCCCCCGGCACGTGCCGAGCAAGGGGCATAAATGGGTACAACACGAGGACTTCCCGGGAGGTCACCCAGCCCAGTACTGCTCTCGCCCACCGATAGTGGCTGTGCTTGAAACGCTGTGCCCGTGCGGTCGTGCGGGTTGCTGCCGTGTTGTGGTCCTTTGGTGCTTCCTCCTCCTTAGTCTCTCTCCCTCTCTCCTCTTCTCTTCCCACCTCCCTCTTTCTGTTCCCTTCTTCTATCCTTCCCTTCTCTTCCTACCACCCTCTTCTTTTCCCTACCACTTCTTCTTACTCTTTCATCCTTCCTTCCCTTCCTTTCTTTCCCCCTTGTCCTACAAACTATATATACCGTCCTCATAGCGATAAGGCTATGTCGAAATTTCCTAGTCTTGGAAAAACCATTATATTCGGCTTGTATTTGCTCTTCCCCTATTAATGAATAACTGCTCTCGCCCACCGGCGCTTAGCTTCGGAGTTCTGATGGGATCCGGCGTAGTAGCCGAGGTATGATCGTACCACGTCAACCTCGTGCCCCGACCGCTACACACCCCTTGCCCGGGTCCCCCCCTTCATAGTCACACCCCCTGCCCCCTCATGCCATCCGCTCCCCCCGCCCCTACCCTCCGCGTGCCCGCTCCCTTGCCGCCTCTTTTGACCCTCCCTGCCCCCCCTCGCCGTTTCCCACCGCCCGCCATTCGCTCCTCCCCGCCCGTGCGCTCCCCTCCTTTACCTTCTCCTCCCCCCTCCCCTCCTCTGCTGCACGCCTCTTCCTTCCCCTCGCCGACCCACTCCACTCCCTGCCCCTCCTCAATCCGCACCCTGCCCCTCGTATCTCGCCCCCCTATGCTTGGTTTCTCCCCTCCCTGCCCCTCGCCGCCTTTCCCCGCTCCCCACCTCCCCCCTCTCCCTGCCCCCCCCACTCTCCCCCCCCCTTGTCCTTGGCTTCCTACCTCCCTGCCTCACCTTTCCCCCCTCCGTGTGCTCAGCTTCTCCCCTCCCTGCCCCTCCCTCCTCCCCGCCCTGCCCCTCATTTTCCGCCCCCCCCCCCACGCCCGGTTTCTCCCCTCCCCGCGCCTCCCTTTCTTTCTCCGTGCCTCTCCTTTGCTCCCTCCCTGCCCCCGCCTGCCCATGCCCCTGTCTTTGGCTTCTCCCCTCCCTGCCCCACGTTTCTTCCCTCCCTGCCCCCCGTCTGCCCCTCCCTTGTTTTCCCCTCACCCATTGCTTCTCTCCTCCCTGCCCTTGATTTCCCACACCCCTGCCCTCGTTTCCTATCATCCATGCCCCTCGTTTCCCCCCTTTGTACGTTCAGCCTCTTCCCTCCCTGCCCCTCCCTTCCTCCCCCCCTGCCCTTTGCTCTCCCCTCGTTACGCTCCCTTCTCCCCATCCCTGCTGCCCTCTTACCACCATCAGCCCATCCCCACGACCAGCCCCCCTCCCACCCTTCAATCCCCCCCTCCCTCTCTCTCTCTCTCTCTCTCTCTCTCTCTCTCTCTTCCACACACACACACGCACACTCCCCCCTCCCCCACCCCCCCCCACCTACATCCTCCCATTCTGCCCCTCCCTGCCCCTTTCCCACCCCCTCGCACGCCCCTCACCTCCCACCTCCGTGCAACTGGTTTCCCCCCTATGGTGCCACCCTTGCATCGCTCGCCCCTCTGCTCACCCTCTGCCCGCCCCTTTTCCGTGCCCTCAGTTGGCCCAGCCCCTGCCCGTTGCTGCCCCTCCCCTTGCCCCCTCAACTCCCCTGCCCCCCGTACACCCCAAGTCCCATCCAACCGCCCCCACCCTCCCCCGGCTGCCCGTTTCCGCTCTCCACCCCCGCGACCGTGTGCGGCTTCCAACCGCCCAACGGTGGTGCGCACGGGGCGTTTCTTCGCATGGGCAAGCCTCCCCGGGGGCCCCCCACCCCGCTGGGTCGTTGTTTGGGCAAAAAAAACGAAAATGAAAAGAATCGGACGCGCTAAAATCGTCCTTTCTTTTTCCCGCTTGCCCCTCCCCCGGCACGTGCCGAGCAAGGGGCATAAATGGGTACAACACGAGGACTTCCCGGGAGGTCACCCAGCCCAGTACTGCTCTCGCCCACCGATAGTGGCTGTGCTTGAAACGCTGTGCCCGTGCGGTCGTGCGGGTTGCTGCCGTGTTGTGGTCCTTTGGTGCTTCCTCCTCCTTAGTCTCTCTCCCTCTCTCCTCTTCTCTTCCCACCTCCCTCTTTCTGTTCCCTTCTTCTATCCTTCCCTTCTCTTCCTACCACCCTCTTCTTTTCCCTACCACTTCTTCTTACTCCTTCATCCTTCCTTCCTTCCTTTCTTTCCCCCTTTTCCTACAAAATATATATACCGTCCTCATAGCGATTAAGGCTATGTCGAAATTTCCTAGTCTTGGAAAAACCATTATATTCGGCTTGTATTTGCTCTTCCCCTATTAATGAATAACTGCTCTCGCCCACCGGCGCTTAGCTTCGGAGTTCTGATGGGATCCGGCGTAGTAGCCGAGGTATGATCGTACCACGTCAACCTCGTGCCCCGACCGCTACACACCCCTTGCCCGGGTCCCCCCCTTCATAGTCACACCCCCTGCCCCCTCATGCCATCCGCTCCCCCCGCCCCTACCCTCCGCGTGCCCGCTCCCTTGCCGCCTCTTTTGACCCTCCCTGCCCCCCCTCGCCGTTTCCCACCGCCCGCCATTCGCTCCTCCCCGCCCGTGCGCTCCCCTCCTTTACCTTCTCCTCCCCCCTCCCCTCCTCTGCTGCACGCCTCTTCCTTCCCCTCGCCGACCCACTCCACTCCCTGCCCCTCCTCAATCCGCACCCTGCCCCTCGTATCTCGCCCCCCTATGCTTGGTTTCTCCCCTCCCTGCCCCTCGCCGCCTTTCCCCGCTCCCCACCTCCCCCCTCTCCCTGCCCCCCCCCACTCTCCCCCCCCCTTGTCCTTGGCTTCCTACCTCCCTGCCTCACCTTTCCCCCCTCCGTGTGCTCAGCTTCTCCCCTCCCTGCCCCTCCCTCCTCCCCGCCCTGCCCCTCATTTTCCGCCCCCCCCCCCCACGCCCGGTTTCTCCCCTCCCCGCGCCTCCCTTTCTTTCTCCGTGCCTCTCCTTTGCTCCCTCCCTGCCCCCGCCTGCCCATGCCCCTGTCTTTGGCTTCTCCCCTCCCTGCCCCACGTTTCTTCCCTCCCTGCCCCCCGTCTGCCCCTCCCTTGTTTTCCCCTCACCCATTGCTTCTCTCCTCCCTGCCCTTGATTTCCCACACCCCTGCCCTCGTTTCCTATCATCCATGCCCCTCGTTTCCCCCCTTTGTACGTTCAGCCTCTTCCCTCCCTGCCCCTCCCTTCCTCCCCCCCTGCCCTTTGCTCTCCCCTCGTTACGCTCCCTTCTCCCCATCCCTGCTGCCCTCTTACCACCATCAGCCCATCCCCACGACCAGCCCCCCTCCCACCCTTCAATCCCCCCCTCCCTCTCTCTCTCTCTCTCTCTCTCTCTCTCTCTCTTTCTCACACACACACACACGCACACTCCCCTCCCCCACCCCCCCCCACCTACATCCTCCCATTCTGCCCCTCCCTGCCCCTTTCCCACCCCCTCGCACGCCCCTCACCTCCCACCTCCGTGCAACTGGTTTCCCCCCTATGGTGCCACCCTTGCATCGCTCGCCCCTCTGCTCACCCTCTGCCCGCCCCTTTTCCGTGCCCTCAGTTGGCCCAGCCCCTGCCCGTTGCTGCCCCTCCCCTTGCCCCCTCAACTCCCCTGCCCCCCGTACACCCCAAGTCCCATCCAACCGCCCCCACCCTCCCCCGGCTGCCCGTTTCCGCTCTCCACCCCCGCGACCGTGTGCGGCTTCCAACCGCCCAACGGTGGTGCGCACGGGGCGTTTCTTCGCATGGGCAAGCCTCCCCGGGGGCCCCCCACCCCGCTGGGTCGTTGTTTGGGCAAAAAAAACGAAAATGAAAAGAATCGGACGCGCTAAAATCGTCCTTTCTTTTTCCCGCTTGCCCCTCCCCCGGCACGTGCCGAGCAAGGGGCATAAATGGGTACAACACGAGGACTTCCCGGGAGGTCACCCAGCCCAGTACTGCTCTCGCCCACCGATAGTGGCTGTGCTTGAAACGCTGTGCCCGTGCGGTCGTGCGGGTTGCTGCCGTGTTGTGGTCCTTTGGTGCTTCCTCCTCCTTAGTCTCTCTCCCTCTCTCCTCTTCTCTTCCCACCTCCCTCTTTCTGTTCCCTTCTTCTATCCTTCCCTTCTCTTCCTACCACCCTCTTCTTTTCCCTACCACTTCTTCTTACTCCTTTCATCCTTCCTTCCTTCCTTTCTTTCCCCCTTGTCCTACAAACTATATATACCGTCCTCATAGCGATAAGGCTATGTCGAAATTTCCTAGTCTTGGAAAAACCATTATATTCGGCTTGTATTTGCTCTTCCCCTATTAATGAATAACTGCTCTCGCCCACCGGCGCTTAGCTTCGGAGTTCTGATGGGATCCGGCGTAGTAGCCGAGGTATGATCGTACCACGTCAACCTCGTGCCCCGACCGCTACACACCCCTTGCCCGGGTCCCCCCCTTCATAGTCACACCCCCTGCCCCCTCATGCCATCCGCTCCCCCCGCCCCTACCCTCCGCGTGCCCGCTCCCTTGCCGCCTCTTTTGACCCTCCCTGCCCCCCCTCGCCGTTTCCCACCGCCCGCCATTCGCTCCTCCCCGCCCGTGCGCTCCCCTCCTTTACCTTCTCCTCCCCCCTCCCCTCCTCTGCTGCACGCCTCTTCCTTCCCCTCGCCGACCCACTCCACTCCCTGCCCCTCCTCAATCCGCACCCTGCCCCTCGTATCTCGCCCCCCTATGCTTGGTTTCTCCCCTCCCTGCCCCTCGCCGCCTTTCCCCGCTCCCCACCTCCCCCCTCTCCCTGCCCCCCCCACTCTCCCCCCCCCTTGTCCTTGGCTTCCTACCTCCCTGCCTCACCTTTCCCCCCTCCGTGTGCTCAGCTTCTCCCCTCCCTGCCCCTCCCTCCTCCCCGCCCTGCCCCTCATTTTCCGCCCCCCCCCCCCCACGCCCGGTTTCTCCCCTCCCCGCGCCTCCCTTTCTTTCTCCGTGCCTCTCCTTTGCTCCCTCCCTGCCCCCGCCTGCCCATGCCCCTGTCTTTGGCTTCTCCCCTCCCTGCCCCACGTTTCTTCCCTCCCTGCCCCCCGTCTGCCCCTCCCTTGTTTTCCCCTCACCCATTGCTTCTCTCCTCCCTGCCCTTGATTTCCCACACCCCTGCCCTCGTTTCCTATCATCCATGCCCCTCGTTTCCCCCCTTTGTACGTTCAGCCTCTTCCCTCCCTGCCCCTCCCTTCCTCCCCCCCTGCCCTTTGCTCTCCCCTCGTTACGCTCCCTTCTCCCCATCCCTGCTGCCCTCTTACCACCATCAGCCCATCCCCACGACCAGCCCCCCTCCCACCCTTCAATCCCCCCCTCCCTCTCTCTCTCTCTCTCTCTCTCTCTCTCTCTCTCTTCTCACACACACACACACACGCACACTCCCCTCCCCCACCCCCCCCCACCTACATCCTCCCATTCTGCCCCTCCCTGCCCCTTTCCCACCCCCTCGCACGCCCCTCACCTCCCACCTCCGTGCAACTGGTTTCCCCCCTATGGTGCCACCCTTGCATCGCTCGCCCCTCTGCTCACCCTCTGCCCGCCCCTTTTCCGTGCCCTCAGTTGGCCCAGCCCCTGCCCGTTGCTGCCCCTCCCCTTGCCCCCTCAACTCCCCTGCCCCCCGTACACCCCAAGTCCCATCCAACCGCCCCCACCCTCCCCCGGCTGCCCGTTTCCGCTCTCCACCCCCGCGACCGTGTGCGGCTTCCAACCGCCCAACGGTGGTGCGCACGGGGCGTTTCTTCGCATGGGCAAGCCTCCCCGGGGGCCCCCCACCCCGCTGGGTCGTTGTTTGGGCAAAAAAACGAAAAGAAAAGAATCGGACGCGCTAAAATCGTCCTTTCTTTTTCCCGCTTGCCCCTCCCCCGGCACGTGCCGAGCAAGGGGCATAAATGGGTACAACACGAGGACTTCCCGGGAGGTCACCCAGCCCAGTACTGCTCTCGCCCACCGATAGTGGCTGTGCTTGAAACGCTGTGCCCGTGCGGTCGTGCGGGTTGCTGCCGTGTTGTGGTCCTTTGGTGCTTCCTCCTCCTTAGTCTCTCTCCCTCTCTCCTCTTCTCTTCCCACCTCCCTCTTTCTGTTCCCTTCTTCTATCCTTCCCTTCTCTTCCTACCACCCTCTTCTTTTCCCTACCACTTCTTCTTACTCCTTCATCCTTCCTTCCCTTCCTTTCTTTCCCCCTTGTCCTACAAAATATATATACCGTCCTCATAGCGATAAGGCTATGTCGAAATTTCCTAGTCTTGGAAAAACCATTATATTCGGCTTGTATTTGCTCTTCCCCTATTAATGAATAACTGCTCTCGCCCACCGGCGCTTAGCTTCGGAGTTCTGATGGGATCCGGCGTAGTAGCCGAGGTATGATCGTACCACGTCAACCTCGTGCCCCGACCGCTACACACCCCTTGCCCGGGTCCCCCCCTTCATAGTCACACCCCCTGCCCCCTCATGCCATCCGCTCCCCCCGCCCCTACCCTCCGCGTGCCCGCTCCCTTGCCGCCTCTTTTGACCCTCCCTGCCCCCCCTCGCCGTTTCCCACCGCCCGCCATTCGCTCCTCCCCGCCCGTGCGCTCCCCTCCTTTACCTTCTCCTCCCCCCTCCCCTCCTCTGCTGCACGCCTCTTCCTTCCCCTCGCCGACCCACTCCACTCCCTGCCCCTCCTCAATCCGCACCCTGCCCCTCGTATCTCGCCCCCCTATGCTTGGTTTCTCCCCTCCCTGCCCCTCGCCGCCTTTCCCCGCTCCCCACCTCCCCCCTCTCCCTGCCCCCCCCACTCTCCCCCCCCCTTGTCCTTGGCTTCCTACCTCCCTGCCTCACCTTTCCCCCCTCCGTGTGCTCAGCTTCTCCCCTCCCTGCCCCTCCCTCCTCCCCGCCCTGCCCCTCATTTTCCGCCCCCCCCCCCCCACGCCCGGTTTCTCCCCTCCCCGCGCCTCCCTTTCTTTCTCCGTGCCTCTCCTTTGCTCCCTCCCTGCCCCCGCCTGCCCATGCCCCTGTCTTTGGCTTCTCCCCTCCCTGCCCCACGTTTCTTCCCTCCCTGCCCCCCGTCTGCCCCTCCCTTGTTTTCCCCTCACCCATTGCTTCTCTCCTCCCTGCCCTTGATTTCCCACACCCCTGCCCTCGTTTCCTATCATCCATGCCCCTCGTTTCCCCCCTTTGTACGTTCAGCCTCTTCCCTCCCTGCCCCTCCCTTCCTCCCCCCCTGCCCTTTGCTCTCCCCTCGTTACGCTCCCTTCTCCCCATCCCTGCTGCCCTCTTACCACCATCAGCCCATCCCCACGACCAGCCCCCCTCCCACCCTTCAATCCCCCCTCCCTCTCTCTCTCTCTCTCTCTCTCTCTCTCTCTCTCTTTCTCACACACACACACACACGCACACTCCCCTCCCCCACCCCCCCCCACCTACATCCTCCCATTCTGCCCCTCCCTGCCCCTTTCCCACCCCCTCGCACGCCCCTCACCTCCCACCTCCGTGCAACTGGTTTCCCCCCTATGGTGCCACCCTTGCATCGCTCGCCCCTCTGCTCACCCTCTGCCCGCCCCTTTTCCGTGCCCTCAGTTGGCCCAGCCCCTGCCCGTTGCTGCCCCTCCCCTTGCCCCCTCAACTCCCCTGCCCCCCGTACACCCCAAGTCCCATCCAACCGCCCCCACCCTCCCCCGGCTGCCCGTTTCCGCTCTCCACCCCCGCGACCGTGTGCGGCTTCCAACCGCCCAACGGTGGTGCGCACGGGGCGTTTCTTCGCATGGGCAAGCCTCCCCGGGGGCCCCCCACCCCGCTGGGTCGTTGTTTGGGCAAAAAAAACGAAAAGAAAAGAATCGGACGCGCTAAAATCGTCCTTTCTTTTTCCCGCTTGCCCCTCCCCCGGCACGTGCCGAGCAAGGGGCATAAATGGGTACAACACGAGGACTTCCCGGGAGGTCACCCAGCCCAGTACTGCTCTCGCCCACCGGCGCTTAGCTTCGGAGTTCTGATGGGATCCGGCTAATAGCTGAGGTATGATCGTACCACGTCAACCTCGTGCCCCGACCGCTACACACCCCTTGCCCGGGTCCCCCCCTTCATAGTCACACCCCCTGCCCCCTCATGCCATCCGCTCCCCCCGCCCCTACCCTCCGCGTGCCCGCTCCCTTGCCGCCTCTTTTGACCCTCCCTGCCCCCCCTCGCCGTTTCCCACCGCCCGCCATTCGCTCCTCCCCGCCCGTGCGCTCCCCTCCTTTACCTTCTCCTCCCCCCTCCCCTCCTCTGCTGCACGCCTCTTCCTTCCCCTCGCCGACCCACTCCACTCCCTGCCCCTCCTCAATCCGCACCCTGCCCCTCGTATCTCGCCCCCCTATGCTTGGTTTCTCCCCTCCCTGCCCCTCGCCGCCTTTCCCCGCTCCCCACCTCCCCCCTCTCCCTGCCCCCCCCACTCTCCCCCCCCCTTGTCCTTGGCTTCCTACCTCCCTGCCTCACCTTTCCCCCCTCCGTGTGCTCAGCTTCTCCCCTCCCTGCCCCTCCCTCCTCCCCGCCCTGCCCCTCATTTTCCGCCCCCCCCCCCCCACGCCCGGTTTCTCCCCTCCCCGCGCCTCCCTTTCTTTCTCCGTGCCTCTCCTTTGCTCCCTCCCTGCCCCCGCCTGCCCATGCCCCTGTCTTTGGCTTCTCCCCTCCCTGCCCCACGTTTCTTCCCTCCCTGCCCCCCGTCTGCCCCTCCCTTGTTTTCCCCTCACCCATTGCTTCTCTCCTCCCTGCCCTTGATTTCCCACACCCCTGCCCTCGTTTCCTATCATCCATGCCCCTCGTTTCCCCCCTTTGTACGTTCAGCCTCTTCCCTCCCTGCCCCTCCCTTCCTCCCCCCCTGCCCTTTGCTCTCCCCTCGTTACGCTCCCTTCTCCCCATCCCTGCTGCCCTCTTACCACCATCAGCCCATCCCCACGACCAGCCCCCCTCCCACCCTTCAATCCCCCCCTCCCTCTCTCTCTCTCTCTCTCTCTCTCTCTCTCTCTCTTTCTCACACACACACACACACGCACACTCCCCTCCCCCACCCCCCCCCACCTACATCCTCCCATTCTGCCCCTCCCTGCCCCTTTCCCACCCCCTCGCACGCCCCTCACCTCCCACCTCCGTGCAACTGGTTTCCCCCCTATGGTGCCACCCTTGCATCGCTCGCCCCTCTGCTCACCCTCTGCCCGCCCCTTTTCCGTGCCCTCAGTTGGCCCAGCCCCTGCCCGTTGCTGCCCCTCCCCTTGCCCCCTCAACTCCCCTGCCCCCCGTACACCCCAAGTCCCATCCAACCGCCCCCACCCTCCCCCGGCTGCCCGTTTCCGCTCTCCACCCCCGCGACCGTGTGCGGCTTCCAACCGCCCAACGGTGGTGCGCACGGGGCGTTTCTTCGCATGGGCAAGCCTCCCCGGGGGCCCCCCACCCCGCTGGGTCGTTGTTTGGGCAAAAAAAACGAAAAGAAAAGAATCGGACGCGCTAAAATCGTCCTTTCTTTTTCCCGCTTGCCCCTCCCCCGGCACGTGCCGAGCAAGGGGCATAAATGGGTACAACACGAGGACTTCCCGGGAGGTCACCCAGCCCAGTACTGCTCTCGCCCACCGGCGCTTAGCTTCGGAGTTCTGATGGGATCCGGCGTAAGTAGCCTGAGGTATGATCGTACCACGTCAACCTCGTGCCCCGACCGCTACACACCCCTTGCCCGGGTCCCCCCCTTCATAGTCACACCCCCTGCCCCCTCATGCCATCCGCTCCCCCCGCCCCTACCCTCCGCGTGCCCGCTCCCTTGCCGCCTCTTTTGACCCTCCCTGCCCCCCCTCGCCGTTTCCCACCGCCCGCCATTCGCTCCTCCCCGCCCGTGCGCTCCCCTCCTTTACCTTCTCCTCCCCCCTCCCCTCCTCTGCTGCACGCCTCTTCCTTCCCCTCGCCGACCCACTCCACTCCCTGCCCCTCCTCAATCCGCACCCTGCCCCTCGTATCTCGCCCCCCTATGCTTGGTTTCTCCCCTCCCTGCCCCTCGCCGCCTTTCCCCGCTCCCCACCTCCCCCCTCTCCCTGCCCCCCCCACTCTCCCCCCCCCTTGTCCTTGGCTTCCTACCTCCCTGCCTCACCTTTCCCCCCTCCGTGTGCTCAGCTTCTCCCCTCCCTGCCCCTCCCTCCTCCCCGCCCTGCCCCTCATTTTCCGCCCCCCCCCCCCCACGCCCGGTTTCTCCCCTCCCCGCGCCTCCCTTTCTTTCTCCGTGCCTCTCCTTTGCTCCCTCCCTGCCCCCGCCTGCCCATGCCCCTGTCTTTGGCTTCTCCCCTCCCTGCCCCACGTTTCTTCCCTCCCTGCCCCCCGTCTGCCCCTCCCTTGTTTTCCCCTCACCCATTGCTTCTCTCCTCCCTGCCCTTGATTTCCCACACCCCTGCCCTCGTTTCCTATCATCCATGCCCCTCGTTTCCCCCCTTTGTACGTTCAGCCTCTTCCCTCCCTGCCCCTCCCTTCCTCCCCCCCTGCCCTTTGCTCTCCCCTCGTTACGCTCCCTTCTCCCCATCCCTGCTGCCCTCTTACCACCATCAGCCCATCCCCACGACCAGCCCCCCTCCCACCCTTCAATCCCCCCCTCCCTCTCTCTCTCTCTCTCTCTCTCTCTCTCTCTCTCTTTCTCACACACACACACACACGCACACTCCCCTCCCCCACCCCCCCCCACCTACATCCTCCCATTCTGCCCCTCCCTGCCCCTTTCCCACCCCCTCGCACGCCCCTCACCTCCCACCTCCGTGCAACTGGTTTCCCCCCTATGGTGCCACCCTTGCATCGCTCGCCCCTCTGCTCACCCTCTGCCCGCCCCTTTTCCGTGCCCTCAGTTGGCCCAGCCCCTGCCCGTTGCTGCCCCTCCCCTTGCCCCCTCAACTCCCCTGCCCCCCGTACACCCCAAGTCCCATCCAACCGCCCCCACCCTCCCCCGGCTGCCCGTTTCCGCTCTCCACCCCCGCGACCGTGTGCGGCTTCCAACCGCCCAACGGTGGTGCGCACGGGGCGTTTCTTCGCATGGGCAAGCCTCCCCGGGGGCCCCCCACCCCGCTGGGTCGTTGTTTGGGCAAAAAAAACGAAAAGAAAAGAATCGGACGCGCTAAAATCGTCCTTTCTTTTTCCCGCTTGCCCCTCCCCCGGCACGTGCCGAGCAAGGGGCATAAATGGGTACAACACGAGGACTTCCCGGGAGGTCACCCAGCCCAGTACTGCTCTCGCCCACCGGCGCTTAGCTTCGGAGTTCTGATGGGATCCGGCTAATAGCTGAGGTATGATCGTACCACGTCAACCTCGTGCCCCGACCGCTACACACCCCTTGCCCGGGTCCCCCCCTTCATAGTCACACCCCCTGCCCCCTCATGCCATCCGCTCCCCCCGCCCCTACCCTCCGCGTGCCCGCTCCCTTGCCGCCTCTTTTGACCCTCCCTGCCCCCCCTCGCCGTTTCCCACCGCCCGCCATTCGCTCCTCCCCGCCCGTGCGCTCCCCTCCTTTACCTTCTCCTCCCCCCTCCCCTCCTCTGCTGCACGCCTCTTCCTTCCCCTCGCCGACCCACTCCACTCCCTGCCCCTCCTCAATCCGCACCCTGCCCCTCGTATCTCGCCCCCCTATGCTTGGTTTCTCCCCTCCCTGCCCCTCGCCGCCTTTCCCCGCTCCCCACCTCCCCCCTCTCCCTGCCCCCCCCACTCTCCCCCCCCCTTGTCCTTGGCTTCCTACCTCCCTGCCTCACCTTTCCCCCCTCCGTGTGCTCAGCTTCTCCCCTCCCTGCCCCTCCCTCCTCCCCGCCCTGCCCCTCATTTTCCGCCCCCCCCCCCCCACGCCCGGTTTCTCCCCTCCCCGCGCCTCCCTTTCTTTCTCCGTGCCTCTCCTTTGCTCCCTCCCTGCCCCCGCCTGCCCATGCCCCTGTCTTTGGCTTCTCCCCTCCCTGCCCCACGTTTCTTCCCTCCCTGCCCCCCGTCTGCCCCTCCCTTGTTTTCCCCTCACCCATTGCTTCTCTCCTCCCTGCCCTTGATTTCCCACACCCCTGCCCTCGTTTCCTATCATCCATGCCCCTCGTTTCCCCCCTTTGTACGTTCAGCCTCTTCCCTCCCTGCCCCTCCCTTCCTCCCCCCCTGCCCTTTGCTCTCCCCTCGTTACGCTCCCTTCTCCCCATCCCTGCTGCCCTCTTACCACCATCAGCCCATCCCCACGACCAGCCCCCCTCCCACCCTTCAATCCCCCCCTCCCTCTCTCTCTCTCTCTCTCTCTCTCTCTCTCTCTCTTTCTCACACACACACACACACGCACACTCCCCTCCCCCACCCCCCCCCACCTACATCCTCCCATTCTGCCCCTCCCTGCCCCTTTCCCACCCCCTCGCACGCCCCTCACCTCCCACCTCCGTGCAACTGGTTTCCCCCCTATGGTGCCACCCTTGCATCGCTCGCCCCTCTGCTCACCCTCTGCCCGCCCCTTTTCCGTGCCCTCAGTTGGCCCAGCCCCTGCCCGTTGCTGCCCCTCCCCTTGCCCCCTCAACTCCCCTGCCCCCCGTACACCCCAAGTCCCATCCAACCGCCCCCACCCTCCCCCGGCTGCCCGTTTCCGCTCTCCACCCCCGCGACCGTGTGCGGCTTCCAACCGCCCAACGGTGGTGCGCACGGGGCGTTTCTTCGCATGGGCAAGCCTCCCCGGGGGCCCCCCACCCCGCTGGGTCGTTGTTTGGGCAAAAAAAACGAAAAGAAAAGAATCGGACGCGCTAAAATCGTCCTTTCTTTTTCCCGCTTGCCCCTCCCCCGGCACGTGCCGAGCAAGGGGCATAAATGGGTACAACACGAGGACTTCCCGGGAGGTCACCCAGCCCAGTACTGCTCTCGCCCACCGATAGTGGCTGTGCTTGAAACGCTGTGCCCGTGCGGTCGTGCGGGTTGCTGCCGTGTTTTGGTCCTTTGGTGCTTCCTCCTCCTTAGTCTCTCTCCCTCTCTCCTCTTTTCTTCCCACCTCCCTCTTTCTGTTCCCTTCTTCTATCCTTCCCTTCTCTTCCTACCGCCCTCTTCTTTTCCCTACCACTTCTTCTTACTCCTTCATCCTTCCTTCCTTTCCTTTCTTTCCCCCTTTTCCTACAAAATATATATACCGTCCTCATAGCGATTAGGCTATGTCGAAATTTCCTAGTCTTGGAAAAACCATTATATTCGGCTTGTATTTGCTCTTCCCCTATTAATGAATAACTGCTCTCGCCCACCGGCGCTTAGCTTCGGAGTTCTGATGGGATCCGGCGTAGTAGCCGAGGTATGATCGTACCACGTCAACCTCGTGCCCCGACCGCTACACACCCCTTGCCCGGGTCCCCCCCTTCATAGTCACACCCCCTGCCCCCTCATGCCATCCGCTCCCCCCGCCCCTACCCTCCGCGTGCCCGCTCCCTTGCCGCCTCTTTTGACCCTCCCTGCCCCCCCTCGCCGTTTCCCACCGCCCGCCATTCGCTCCTCCCCGCCCGTGCGCTCCCCTCCTTTACCTTCTCCTCCCCCCTCCCCTCCTCTGCTGCACGCCTCTTCCTTCCCCTCGCCGACCCACTCCACTCCCTGCCCCTCCTCAATCCGCACCCTGCCCCTCGTATCTCGCCCCCCTATGCTTGGTTTCTCCCCTCCCTGCCCCTCGCCGCCTTTCCCCGCTCCCCACCTCCCCCCTCTCCCTGCCCCCCCCACTCTCCCCCCCCCTTGTCCTTGGCTTCCTACCTCCCTGCCTCACCTTTCCCCCCTCCGTGTGCTCAGCTTCTCCCCTCCCTGCCCCTCCCTCCTCCCCGCCCTGCCCCTCATTTTCCGCCCCCCCCCCCCCCACGCCCGGTTTCTCCCCTCCCCGCGCCTCCCTTTCTTTCTCCGTGCCTCTCCTTTGCTCCCTCCCTGCCCCCGCCTGCCCATGCCCCTGTCTTTGGCTTCTCCCCTCCCTGCCCCACGTTTCTTCCCTCCCTGCCCCCCGTCTGCCCCTCCCTTGTTTTCCCCTCACCCATTGCTTCTCTCCTCCCTGCCCTTGATTTCCCACACCCCTGCCCTCGTTTCCTATCATCCATGCCCCTCGTTTCCCCCCTTTGTACGTTCAGCCTCTTCCCTCCCTGCCCCTCCCTTCCTCCCCCCCTGCCCTTTGCTCTCCCCTCGTTACGCTCCCTTCTCCCCATCCCTGCTGCCCTCTTACCACCATCAGCCCATCCCCACGACCAGCCCCCCTCCCACCCTTCAATCCCCCCCTCCCTCTCTCTCTCTCTCTCTCTCTCTCTCTCTCTCTTTCTCACACACACACACACACGCACACTCCCCTCCCCCACCCCCCCCCACCTACATCCTCCCATTCTGCCCCTCCCTGCCCCTTTCCCACCCCCTCGCACGCCCCTCACCTCCCACCTCCGTGCAACTGGTTTCCCCCCTATGGTGCCACCCTTGCATCGCTCGCCCCTCTGCTCACCCTCTGCCCGCCCCTTTTCCGTGCCCTCAGTTGGCCCAGCCCCTGCCCGTTGCTGCCCCTCCCCTTGCCCCCTCAACTCCCCTGCCCCCCGTACACCCCAAGTCCCATCCAACCGCCCCCACCCTCCCCCGGCTGCCCGTTTCCGCTCTCCACCCCCGCGACCGTGTGCGGCTTCCAACCGCCCAACGGTGGTGCGCACGGGGCGTTTCTTCGCATGGGCAAGCCTCCCCGGGGGCCCCCCACCCCGCTGGGTCGTTGTTTGGGCAAAAAAAACGAAAAGAAAAGAATCGGACGCGCTAAAATCGTCCTTTCTTTTTCCCGCTTGCCCCTCCCCCGGCACGTGCCGAGCAAGGGGCATAAATGGGTACAACACGAGGACTTCCCGGGAGGTCACCCAGCCCAGTACTGCTCTCGCCCACCGATAGTGGCTGTGCTTGAAACGCTGTGCCCGTGCGGTCGTGCGGGTTGCTGCCGTGTTTTGGTCCTTTGGTGCTTCCTCCTCCTTAGTCTCTCTCCCTCTCTCCTCTTTTCTTCCCACCTCCCTCTTTCTGTTCCCTTCTTCTATCCTTCCCTTCTCTTCCTACCGCCCTCTTCTTTTCCCTACCACTTCTTCTTACTCCTTCATCCTTCCTTCCTTTCCTTTCTTTCCCCCTTTTCCTACAAAATATATATACCGTCCTCATAGCGATTAGGCTATGTCGAAATTTCCTAGTCTTGGAAAAACCATTATATTCGGCTTGTATTTGCTCTTCCCCTATTAATGAATAACTGCTCTCGCCCACCGGCGCTTAGCTTCGGAGTTCTGATGGGATCCGGCGTAGTAGCCGAGGTATGATCGTACCACGTCAACCTCGTGCCCCGACCGCTACACACCCCTTGCCCGGGTCCCCCCCTTCATAGTCACACCCCCTGCCCCCTCATGCCATCCGCTCCCCCCGCCCCTACCCTCCGCGTGCCCGCTCCCTTGCCGCCTCTTTTGACCCTCCCTGCCCCCCCTCGCCGTTTCCCACCGCCCGCCATTCGCTCCTCCCCGCCCGTGCGCTCCCCTCCTTTACCTTCTCCTCCCCCCTCCCCTCCTCTGCTGCACGCCTCTTCCTTCCCCTCGCCGACCCACTCCACTCCCTGCCCCTCCTCAATCCGCACCCTGCCCCTCGTATCTCGCCCCCCTATGCTTGGTTTCTCCCCTCCCTGCCCCTCGCCGCCTTTCCCCGCTCCCCACCTCCCCCCTCTCCCTGCCCCCCCCACTCTCCCCCCCCCTTGTCCTTGGCTTCCTACCTCCCTGCCTCACCTTTCCCCCCTCCGTGTGCTCAGCTTCTCCCCTCCCTGCCCCTCCCTCCTCCCCGCCCTGCCCCTCATTTTCCGCCCCCCCCCCCCCACGCCCGGTTTCTCCCCTCCCCGCGCCTCCCTTTCTTTCTCCGTGCCTCTCCTTTGCTCCCTCCCTGCCCCCGCCTGCCCATGCCCCTGTCTTTGGCTTCTCCCCTCCCTGCCCCACGTTTCTTCCCTCCCTGCCCCCCGTCTGCCCCTCCCTTGTTTTCCCCTCACCCATTGCTTCTCTCCTCCCTGCCCTTGATTTCCCACACCCCTGCCCTCGTTTCCTATCATCCATGCCCCTCGTTTCCCCCCTTTGTACGTTCAGCCTCTTCCCTCCCTGCCCCTCCCTTCCTCCCCCCCTGCCCTTTGCTCTCCCCTCGTTACGCTCCCTTCTCCCCATCCCTGCTGCCCTCTTACCACCATCAGCCCATCCCCACGACCAGCCCCCCTCCCACCCTTCAATCCCCCCCTCCCTCTCTCTCTCTCTCTCTCTCTCTCTCTCTCTCTTTCTCACACACACACACACACGCACACTCCCCTCCCCCACCCCCCCCCACCTACATCCTCCCATTCTGCCCCTCCCTGCCCCTTTCCCACCCCCTCGCACGCCCCTCACCTCCCACCTCCGTGCAACTGGTTTCCCCCCTATGGTGCCACCCTTGCATCGCTCGCCCCTCTGCTCACCCTCTGCCCGCCCCTTTTCCGTGCCCTCAGTTGGCCCAGCCCCTGCCCGTTGCTGCCCCTCCCCTTGCCCCCTCAACTCCCCTGCCCCCCGTACACCCCAAGTCCCATCCAACCGCCCCCACCCTCCCCCGGCTGCCCGTTTCCGCTCTCCACCCCCGCGACCGTGTGCGGCTTCCAACCGCCCAACGGTGGTGCGCACGGGGCGTTTCTTCGCATGGGCAAGCCTCCCCGGGGGCCCCCCACCCCGCTGGGTCGTTGTTTGGGCAAAAAAAACGAAAAGAAAAGAATCGGACGCGCTAAAATCGTCCTTTCTTTTTCCCGCTTGCCCCTCCCCCGGCACGTGCCGAGCAAGGGGCATAAATGGGTACAACACGAGGACTTCCCGGGAGGTCACCCAGCCCAGTACTGCTCTCGCCCACCGGCGCTCTTACCTTGACCTAGCTTACCTAGCCATGGCTGCCTACTAAGGAGCCTCCTAAACCTACTATTTCGAGTTGCTTAAGGACAAAGTGATTGTGATAGTTGTTTATGTTATAGTTATAAGCGTTTCCAACGGTTAGTTTTTTAGTTTCGACTGTCGAGTTCGACGGGACGGGGGTCGCGAGTTTCGCGCGCGACCCTCAGGAGTCTCGGAAACGGAACTCGCGGGGTGTTACGGAACCGTTTGTTCGACCCCGCCATCGCGGGATCGCTGCGGACGCGCTGCAGCCGGTGTAACGGGAGGTGGGGCGCTGACGCGAAGTTCGCCCGCGGAGTGTAACAGCGCGCGCGACTCACAACCACAACTCCGCCAGACACGGTGTTCCCGCCCATCCCCTCTCTCGACACTCTCCCTTATCCCCCCGCTCTTTTCTGCTCACGGCTTTTCTATTCGAAGCGATTAGCTGCTACCGAGTTTTTTCCCGCGGTTTCCCTCTCTCGAAGTCACTGAGCTTAGCTTCCGCCCGTAGTTAGCACTCTTCCTTCCCTTTCGGTGCGCCCTTCTTTATCGTAACCCTAATTCGAAGAGCCGCGCGTTTCCAAGCACGCTTTCTCGTCGCCTATCATGTTTAGTCATGCACTCGTTTTCCCCGCCTGTTCAATCTAGCCGCGACGTAGACGGAACCGCGCACGGGGCGCTTACCGCCAGGGAAAGGCAGCGCGGAGGGAGGCGAAATTGCTACGTTCGTAGCGATTAAGCAGCCCTCCCCTTGCGCGCCTCCCGAAGCGCGTTTTCTGCCTAGAGCGTTTTAGCCGCCCACGTTTGGCACACAAGCCGCCCCACTCCCCTTTTGCTCACTCCCACCCTGCCGTGCCTCGTCGCGCACTCGTGCATGCCACCCACACGTCGTAATTTTACCCCGTCGCCACCCACATAGTCACCTCCCTGCTCACACCGCCCCTTTCCCCCTCACACGCGCGCTTTAGCCACCCCGCCACCTAACCTCTTTCCCTAACGGCGCTTAGCTAGCAGAGGCCGCCCTGTTTCTGGAAACCGTAGGAAATAAGAGGAAACAACTTCAAGGAAAAAAGAAAAGAAAAAGAAATTCATATAAATCCGAAAAAACCAGGAAAAATCAGAAAGGCAGCTTACACCTTGTTCTCCCAACCCTCCAGGGCCCCACCCAGTCCGCCACCCCCCCATTCTGTTTCATCATACTACACCACACCCCTCCCCTTTTGCCCACCAGCATTACCGCCCCTCTCCCCTTATCCCCCACCACGCCCCCAAGCAGGCCTTTCTCCCCCCAGCCTCCCGTCTCCCTGCCCTTAGTACCGCCGCGCTCTGCCCGTGCGTCACCCTTGCCCACTTCATACCACCTCCCCCTCCTCTCCCCCCCCCCCGGCTTCTCCCTATCATCACCCGCATGTTCCCCCACTCCCCTGTCCACAACGTCCCTCCACCCCCCTTCCTGCTTTCCCCACTCCCACTCTGCCCCCCACACCTCTACGAGCCGTACTTCCCCCTCCAGCCTCCCTTTCCCCCCCAGCTACTTCCGCATCCAGCGTGGGCTGCACCTCTGCATCCCGCCCTGCCAGGCCCTTCGGTGACCCAACTGCCGCCACCTGGCACCACGCCGCCTTTCCCACCCCCATCCAATCTCTACACCCCCTGCCCCTGCTCCCTGCGCAATCCAGCCACCTACCCCAGCCTCCCTCTACCTCTCCCTAACTCCACACCGCCGTTCCTACCCCCAGCCAAGGTCTACACCCCTTGCTTTTGCTCCCTGGGCTGTGCCGTCCCCAACCTCCCTCCGCCTTTCCGCGGCACCAGACCGCCTCTCCCTCCCCCAGCCAACTTTTGCACCCCCTGTTCCTGCCCCTTGTGCCCTCCAACACCCTACCTCAACCCCCCCCAGTCTCCCCCTTCTCCAACACCCTCCATATTTCCTCCCCCCTGGGGCTCGCCCATCCGCAGCTATCACCCTTCATCGATTCCCCAATTCCCTCTGTCCCCTGTTTCCCGGCCCCGCATCCTATCCTGCATTTACCACAGCACCTCCTTTCGGTGCCCTCTCTGCCCTCCCACGTTCTCACCCCCCGCCTCCCAACCTTCTCATTACCCGCTACCAGGCTCACGCCAACTCGACTACCCACTACCCTTTGCCCCTTCCTCTCTGTTCCCCACCCTTCCTTTCCCACCTGGCTCCACCTGCCCACCCCCACCTCCCGTGGAATTCTGCCCTGCCCTCCCCACCTCTGGCCCACCACCTGTCCCCACACCCTGCTCACCCACCGCTACACCACCCCCGCCCCCCCACCTCCACTACAGCCCGCCAACACTTCCCCTCTCAATCGGCCCCCAGCCCGCCCCCCCCTTGGGCCCCAATCCCCTCCAACTGTCAGGCCCCCTCTACCCTCTCTTCCACCCACTGCGCACCGCTTTCCCCACCCTTTTCCCCTTTCCCCAAGCTAACCCCCCGCACCCCGGCCTCTGCCAGGGAGTTCCTTCCCCCTTTGACGCCCTCTTGAGCCAACCCCAGCAACTCACACCGCCACCGCCAGGCATGCTGCCTCTGTAACAATGCCCCAGCACCCCGCGAGTGGGGGAAAGGCAGGCCCGGGAGCCCCTCGGCGATCTGGGAGGTCCCGCAGCCGAGCCACCCCCTACTCTCCCACTCCCCCCACTTCAACAGTCAGGAAGAAACAACACACACCTGACCAAGCGAAAACACTCACACAATCTGACCCTAGGGGCCAGAAGCGTACCTTTGAAGAGGATGGAACAGAGGAACGCCAAGCCCCACTGGAGGAAATACACGAGGAGGAGCCAGCACGCTCAAAACCGCGCCCTACCCCCGCTGCCCCATCCCAGTCTACCCCCCCTTCAGGTGACAGCGGGGGCGGCACCCATGCATGCTCAGTAGAGAGATCCTCCAACTCACTCGCTACCTCCCATTCGCAAACCAGATTACTTGTGAAAACACTTAATCCTACCCGCACCCCCAAGCACATAGAAGCGGGAGAGGGCAGAGCCAGGGGGGAACTTGCAGCTGACACTGCACGGGAAGGGGTAAGTGAGTTTGTGTGTGAAGGAGCAGCAGAGGCTACAGAGGATGGGGCAGCAAAGGCTGCACGGGAAGGGGCAATGGGGGTTGTGGGGGAAGGGGCAGCAGAGGCTGCAGAGGAAAGGGCAGCAGAGGCTGCAAGGGAAGGGGCAGCAGCGGCTGCACGGGAAAGGGCGGCAGGGGCTGCACGGGAAGGGGCGGCAGGGACCGTGACTCTGGCCAGGCAAAGGGCAGAGGCCATGGAGACAGGTTTTGCAGGAGTAGGGGCCACGGAACCTGCTGCTGCGTCGGCTGGGGGAACCGCAGCAGAGGAGGCTATAGGGACCGCACCAGGTGAGGCCGCACAGACCACAGCAGGTGTGGCTGCAGGGATCACAACGGGTGAGGCTGCAGGAGGGACCATGGCAGGTGAGGCCGCAGGGAGCGCAGTAGGTGAGGCTGCGGGGAGCGCAGCAGGTGAGGCTGTAGGGGGCGCAGCAGGTGAGGCTGCAGAGAGCGCAGCAGGTGAGGCCGCAGGGAGCGCAGCAAGCGAGGCTGCAGGGAGCGCAGCAGGCGAGGCTGCAGGGAGCGCAGCAGGCGGGACTGCAGGGGCCACAGCAGGTGAGGCTGCGGCGGACGCAGCAGGTGAGGCTGCGAGGGCTGCATCATGTAAGGTTGGGCAGACTCTAGCAGGTGAGGCTGCACAGTCTACAGCTGGTGAGGTCGCATGGACTGCAACAGGTGAGGCCGCAGGGACTGCAGCAGGTGAGGCGGCAGGGACCACAGCGGATGAGGCTGCAGGCGGGACCATGGCAGGTGAGGCCGCAGGGAGCGCAGCAGGTGAGGCTGAAATAGCCGCAGCAGGTGAGGCTGCAGAGGCCGCAGCATGTGAGGTTGAGCAGATTCTAGCAGGTGAGGCTGCACAGACTGCAGCAGGTGAGGCCGCAGGGACTGCAGCGGGTGAGGCTGCAGGGACTGCAGCACGTGAGGCTGCAGGGACTGCAGCACGTGAGGCTACAGGGATCGCGGCTGGTGAGGCTGAGCAGATTACGGTAGGCGAGGTTTTACAGACTGCAGCAGTCGAGGCTGCAAGGACTGCAGCAGGAGCGACAGAGGCCACAGCGGGGGCTGGTATAGGGGGAGGTGCTACGGGTGCAGCGGGGAAGGGGGTAACGGGGACTGGTGCGAGGGAGAGTGCCGCCCCGGCTGTAGCAAGAGAGGGTACGGCAGGGGCCTCAAAGGCAGAAGGTGAGGCTGCAGCTGAAGCAGCAGGGAGGGCCATAGCACGGCCAGTAGGGGCGGCAGGGGCCGCAGCAAACTCGGGGAAACACACAGCAGGGCCGGCAGGGCCGGCAGAGACTGCAAAAGGGGCTAGCAGTAAAGCGGCAGCAGGCGGGGTGGGCTTGGGGGACATAGGGGCAACAGGGGAAGGAGAGGGGAGGGTGGTCCCGACCGGGGTGGGCACTGAAGAGGGGGATGTGATAGCGATAGAGGAGGATGAGGGAGAGGATGTGATGCACATTGACGGGCCACTGGCCCAATACCTCACGCTTGACGGTGAGGCCGACCCGGCCCCCCTGCAGCCTCACGTCGAGGTTCCCCCTCTACCCCCCATGCCCGTCCCCATGCTAGCAGAAGGACCGATGGAGGGGCTGGGGGAGACCTTGAGGACAGAGCCGCGCGAGGGAGCCCCCATCCTCACCTCCCGTCCTCCAGCCCACCAGCCCCCAGGAGCACCACTTCCCCACCCCCACCCTCAGGTCCCGGTAGTGTCCAGGGGGGCAGCCAAGGCCCTGGCCTTCTTGGCGGAGCCGTGCTCCCCGACCCCCACGCTGCTCCATGGCCAGCCCCCCTCTCCGTCCCCAACGCCTGACCCCACGGTTGCAGGCGGTCCACCGGGAGAGCACGCGGGTGCGACAAGAGCAGAGTCACCCGAGGGCACCCCTTCTCTCACCTCTCACCCCTCCCCGCCCCTTCCCTCACTCCTTCCTTCACCCCCAAGGGCAGCACACCTCTGCCCCCACCCTCAGGGGCTCCTTAGAGCACCACGTGGAGCAGCCAGGGCTCTGGTCTTCCTAGAGGAGCCATGCTCCCCGACTCCTACCAACACCCAGCCACCCCTTACCGGCCCACTACCCCCTCCTCCACCAGGCCCCCCCCCACCCGGTAGTACACACATCTCGGAGGTTGAAGCATCTCTGCGGCCAAATCCCTCTCCCACACGCTACAGGCACCCAAACCACCCGAGTCGCCGCACAGCCCCAACACGCCCACCCAACAGGCTGCCCTCCCCACACCACCCCCCCCAGGCAGCCGAGACCCACCCGCAAGGGCTTGCGCCCCAGGCTCATGGGAGCGGCGGCACCCGGGTAGAGGGGCCCACAGGAGAGGCCACCACAGAGCCCACACAAATCTCTCTCCCCCCACCGTTTGTACCTCGCTCTAACCTCCACACTGGCCCAGCCCCTCGACCCCCACCTCCAACCCCCTCTCCCGGCCGGGTTCCCCACGAGTGGCCCCGTTGGGCAGCCATCACCCCCCACACACAGCTTGCCCGATCTGTTCCCACGGAGGGGGATGTTTCGAGGAGAGTGGGGATGCACACAGAGCACCCCCTGCCTGGCGAACCACCCATCCTCCCTCCACCCACCCCTTTGGCCCCACAGCCCCCCCTTCCTTCACAAACAGGCGCGGACAACCAGGTTGGCCGCCGGCGGAAGAACAGGGGCAGAGGAGGCAGAGGGTCAGCCCACGTACTCCCCCCTCCCTCCCTCCCCCACCAAGAGCCCCTCCCCACCTCACATCCCGTTGAACAATTACCAGGCCCTACCTCTACAGCCCGTCCACCAAACCTACACTCCCGCCCCGCTCCTGCACCTCCACAGGGCCATGGGAGCGGACCAGCCCACTCACCCCCATTCTGCCCCTCCCGTGCTGTGTCCCCCTCCCAGGTGGCGGCGGCCGCGATCGCTACTGGGAGGGGGGCCGTCGGGTTGAGGGATGCGCCCATGGCAGACGCCACCGACTCCCCCTCCCATCCCTCCCACCCCTTCCATGTCGACGACCCCCTACCGCAACCCATGGTGATTGGGGAGGGCCAAGGGGGCCTTCTAGGGCAGGGTCCACACCCGAGCTCCGCTCAGCCAGCACGCCCCACTCCACCCTCTACCCTGCCAGCCCTCCTACTCTCACCTACAGGCAGGCAGGTCTTCGAGACCCCAGAGGAGGTGAGGGCTGGCATTTCAGATTTGCTGGCGATACACCGCCTGAGCAGCTCTCCGGCTGCCCCCACCCTTCCAGTCCCACAGGACCGGACCCGGACGTATGCGGAGGTCACCCGGTCTGTCCCTTCTTTTATCCCCCCCGCCACTCAGCCAGGCGCGTCACTCCCGACCCCAATGGAGACGGACCGGGGTCTGAGGCCGTGTCACTCGCACCTAGACGGGGTGGCGCCTCCCCCCGTTCAGCCCGTGGCGCAGGAGGTCACCAGCAGTAGGGATGAGGCATCCGCCCCTACCGAGACCCCTCCGCCTGGGGTAGCAGAGCCGTCACTTGAACCGCACCCCGCCGAGGGGCAGGAGCACACCACGGCACACACTTCAGGCTCACCTCCACGTCCCCCCTCCCCAGCTTCAACACCGGTGCCGGCACGAGGCCCGGCCCTATCCTGTGCGACACCACCTCTATCTTCGCTGACACCCCCCCCGCGCGGGGCTGGTGAGTCGTCTCCTCCCCTCATCCCAGGCGATCCTGTCGGAGCTCAGGCCGCCCACGGGGTCCCCTCTACAGCCAGTTCCGACGCCACGGCCCCGATTGACCCCGCCGACACGGCGACATCACCCGACCAGGTCGTGAGTTGCCCCACCTGCAGGAGCTCTCTCGCGAACCGACGCGCGCTCCAGCACCACATTCCCTTCTGCCATCCTGCGGACGCGGCTCGCAGGGCGCAGGCTGCCCATGATACCGCCTCGATCATCCCTTCCCTCTCACAGCCCCGTGCGACCGGGATGCAGTTCACCGACGCACAGTGGCAGACGCTCGACTCGGTGGACTGGACAGAGTACTTCTCGCCCGAGCGTATCCATACACGCCCTCTCCGACGTGTCCCGGAGAGGGTCCGCGGAGGATATCTTGACGTCCTCAGTGCGATCCTAGTCCGCATTGCCCAGGACCCGGAGGCTGCTGGCCCTACCTTCCTCCTCGCTGCAGCGCCGACTCTTTTCCTTGTTCCAGCGACGCCACCCGACCGCTCGCACACGGCTGCCATTGCAACGCGCATCTCTCGCTTTGGTCGAGGTGAGTGGGCTGAGCTAGTCTCAGATGCACTAGGCCGTCGCACACCCCTTCCTCGCCGCACAGGTCACCGGTCACGCACCGCCACCGATCCCTCTGCAGCAGATGAGCGCCGCATTGCACGTTGCCTTCGTCTGGCAGCGTGCAATGAGACCTCACGGGCGTGCGCGGCTCTCGAGTCCGCGGAGGCAGCCCCAGATACACAGGGGACGATACAGCGCCTGCAGTCGAAGCACCCCAACGCGGAGAGGCCGACCCCAGCTTGGCTGTCTGGCTTCCAGGGGTCCCCTCTCGTGCTCTCGGTGGATCACTTACGCCGCGCGATTTTCACAGCTCCGCGGGGCTCTTCGGGAGGACCGTCCGGTTGGGTCGCTGAGCACCTGCGAGACACTTTCCTAGCTTTCCCTCAGAGTCTCCATTTCCTCCTGGCCGTGTACCAGCAGTGGCTCCGAGGCCGTTGCGCTCCAGCTGCGCGCTCCTTGCTAGCGTCCTCCACCCTCGTGGCTCTGGCGAAGTCGAACATGGATGTTCGGCCGATTGCCATCGGCGAGGTTTTGGTCCGCATTCTTTCTCGGGCAGTTTGTCTCCAGCTACGTGACCAGATGGCGAGGGTCTTCTTGGCATCACAGCAGTTTGGGGTGGGGGTTACGTGCGGGACAGAGGTCGTAGTTAGAGGCGTCCGCCGCGCTCTGGCTGACCACCCAGACTGGGTGGTCCTGCAGCTAGACGTGGCGAATGCCTTTAACTCTTTCCACCGAGACAGGATGTTTCAGGCGCTGCAGGCCAGTCCGGAGTTTCAGTGTCTGATCCCCTTCATCGGCCTCTTCTACGGGACGCCCTCGGATCTCCACTACAGGTCAGGCACGGGAGTGGTCACGATGCACTCGGAGCGGGGCACTCGCCAGGGAGACCCTCTCAGCCCCTTCTTGTACGCTCTGACACAGCGTCTTGCTTTGGAGCCGGTTCTGGCGGAGGGGGATGTCCAGCTCTGGTCGTACGCCGATGACACGTACGTGCTAGGTCCCCCAGACAGGGTGCTGCACCATTTTGCCGAGATCGTGAGGCGCTTGGGCGAGATGGGCCTTGCAGCCCAGCCGCACAAGTGCCTCGTCTACCAGACAGAGTCCTTTCTGTCCAGGGATCTGGAGGCTTTCACGGGCCTAGGGATCGAGGTCGCACGCCGAGGGCTCACCGTGACAGGCGTACCGGTAGGCACCGTTTCGTTCGTGGAGCAGAGTCTCCCGGATCGTCTCGAGAGGATGGGGCGGGTGCTACCTTGGCTTCCGAGGTTGCGCCAGCCCCAGACAGCTGCCCGCCTTCTTTCGGCGTGTGTCAGCACTCGTCCGCAGTACCTGTCGAGGACCGTCCCTCCTTCGCCCGCAGTGATCTCCAGTTTTACACGGTGGGACGCACGCCTGGGAGAGACTTTTCAGCAGCTTTTAGCTTCAGGGACCTGGGCTTGTCGCGAGGACGTCCGAGAGGCCGCCCTAGACCAGATCTTCCTCCCCATCCGTCTCGGGGGTTTCGGCATTCGTCGCATGGCGCGCATGGCCCCGGTGAGTTTCGTGTGCTCCTGGGTGCAGTGTGCACCCATTCTCTGTTCTCTCCCTGCGTGTGGCGAGGTGTTTCGGCAGAGCTTCGCTTCAGGTGAGCCAGAGCAGATCGACCGGGCTCTGCAGACGGCGCTAGAGGGTCTCCCTCCTGACGTTCTCTCTCTCCTTCCCCCCTGGCCCTCTTGCGCTTCTGCCTCCCCCGATTCCCTTTTTGCAGGAGCGAGCCGTCTTCTGGAGGCGCATGCCTTGGAGGCCGTGCGTGCCCGTCACACCTCTCCCTTGCACCTTGCCCGTTTGACTTCCCTTCAGGGCGGAGGTGCAGGAGCGTGGTTGACGTCGGTGCCGTACGCCGACCCACTGCGCATCCCGGAGGCGCTGTGGCAGGCGGCTTCATCTTCTCGTCTTGGTCTCCCTATCCCCCAGTTAGCCCTTGCAGGTCAGTGCTCCTGCGGACAGGCGATTGACGACATGACGGTGCCTCATCACGCGGTTCGGTGCCCGCGTTACGGGGTCGCCACTACCATCCACGACACGGTGAAGTACATGCTTCGAGACTTTGCGGTCGAGGCGGGCTTCGCGGTAAAGGTGGAGGACTCTACGCTGTTCACACAGTTGGAGGCGGCTCGAGCGAGACTACTGGGACAGCCAGTGGTGGGAGAGGGGACACGGGCTGAGGGACCGGGGGAGCGGAGAGGCGAGGCGGGACAGCCGGGTGGCGGGGGACAGTGGGGACGGCACCAGCTGCGGGGTCAGGTGGAGCGAGGGACAGGTGGGCAGAGGGGACGGCAGGGGGAGCAGACGGGCCAGGACGGGGAGGGGGGACGGCACAGGCAGCAGCAGGAGAGCCAGTGGAGGCCGCGGGCCCAGGGCGCCGCGCCTCCAGGTTCGGCCTCGGGGGCGGGGCAGGGGCGGGAGCAGCAGAGAGCGGACGGAGGTACAGGAGGGGCAGCGGGATTGGGAGGGGAGGGCCAGGGAGTGAGAGAGGCAGCAGGGGATGGAGCAGGGGGGTCGGGAGGTTTGGGGGAGGGTAGGGAGGGGGAGGGGAGAGGACAGGTGGATGGAGGAGAGGAGAGGGGGAGAGAGACGATCGGAGAGGGGGCACCAAGGGACCAGACAGGGCAGCAGCCAGCGCAACAGCAGGGACCAGTCGGACGCACAGGCCGTGTAGGCACCGCCTCCCGCATTCCAGACCTCACCTGCCGCGACGTTGGCCAGGGTCTGATGGTTCTTGTGGATGTCTCCATAGCGGATCCACAGCGGGAGGGGAACGTGCAGCTGAGACGGGCGACCCCCACACAGATTGGAGTGGCAGCAGCTAGGCGGGTGCAGGAGAAGCTGCGTCACTGGGGGCCGCACTTAGAGGGGCTGCAGCCGGCACCACACTTTTACGCGTGCGTGGCGGAGACCTTTGGCCTTCTGAGTGAGCCGCTGCGTCAGTTTCTGGGGCTCTGCGCAAAGAGGATAGCACAGCGGAGGAGGGATAGAGGTGGGGGGGATGACGGATCGGCACGGATATTTGAGGCAGGACTCACTACACGCCTCTCCGTTGCACTGCAGCGCGCGCAGGCTCAATGCATGATCCAGCATGCGGTGCGGCAGTTAGGGAGGTCCGACGACGGGTGGATGCCCGCACCAGTCCCACTGGGTGCGGGGCAGGGAACTTGGCACCACGTCACAGGGTGCTTCGAGAGTGTGGCTGATATGCAGTATATATATGATGCATATGTGTAAAAAACAATAGTGGCTGTGCTTGAAACGCTGTGCCCGTGCGGTCGTGCGGGTTGCTGCCGTGTTTGGTCCTTTGGTGCTTCCTTCTCCTTAGTCTCTCTCTCTCTCTCCTCTTCTCTTCCCACCTCCCTCTTTCTGTTCCCTTCTTCTATCCTTCCCTTCTCTTCCTACCACCCTCTTCCTTTCCCTACCACTTCTTCTTACTCCTTCATCTTTCCTTCCTTTCCTTTCTTTCCCCCTTTTCCTACAAAATATATAAATCGTCCTCATAGCGCTTAGGCTATGTCGAAATTTCCTAGTCTTGGAAAAACCATTATATTCGGCTTGTATTTGCTCTTCCCTTATTAATGAATAACTGCTCTCGCCCACCGGCGCTTAGCTTCGGAGTTCTGATGGGATCCGGCGTAGTAGCCGAGGTATGATCGTACCACGTCAACCTCGTGCCCCGACCGCTACACACCCCTTGCCCGGGTCCCCCCCTTCATAGTCACACCCCCTGCCCCCTCATGCCATCCGCTCCCCCCGCCCCTACCCTCCGCGTGCCCGCTCCCTTGCCGCCTCTTTTGACCCTCCCTGCCCCCCCTCGCCGTTTCCCACCGCCCGCCATTCGCTCCTCCCCGCCCGTGCGCTCCCCTCCTTTACCTTCTCCTCCCCCCTCCCCTCCTCTGCTGCACGCCTCTTCCTTCCCCTCGCCGACCCACTCCACTCCCTGCCCCTCCTCAATCCGCACCCTGCCCCTCGTATCTCGCCCCCCTATGCTTGGTTTCTCCCCTCCCTGCCCCTCGCCGCCTTTCCCCGCTCCCCACCTCCCCCCTCTCCCTGCCCCCCCCACTCTCCCCCCCCCTTGTCCTTGGCTTCCTACCTCCCTGCCTCACCTTTCCCCCCTCCGTGTGCTCAGCTTCTCCCCTCCCTGCCCCTCCCTCCTCCCCGCCCTGCCCCTCATTTTCCGCCCCCCCCCCCCCACGCCCGGTTTCTCCCCTCCCCGCGCCTCCCTTTCTTTCTCCGTGCCTCTCCTTTGCTCCCTCCCTGCCCCCGCCTGCCCATGCCCCTGTCTTTGGCTTCTCCCCTCCCTGCCCCACGTTTCTTCCCTCCCTGCCCCCCGTCTGCCCCTCCCTTGTTTTCCCCTCACCCATTGCTTCTCTCCTCCCTGCCCTTGATTTCCCACACCCCTGCCCTCGTTTCCTATCATCCATGCCCCTCGTTTCCCCCCTTTGTACGTTCAGCCTCTTCCCTCCCTGCCCCTCCCTTCCTCCCCCCCTGCCCTTTGCTCTCCCCTCGTTACGCTCCCTTCTCCCCATCCCTGCTGCCCTCTTACCACCATCAGCCCATCCCCACGACCAGCCCCCCTCCCACCCTTCAATCCCCCCCTCCCTCTCTCTCTCTCTCTCTCTCTCTCTCTCTCTCTTTCTCACACACACACACACACGCACACTCCCCTCCCCCACCCCCCCCCACCTACATCCTCCCATTCTGCCCCTCCCTGCCCCTTTCCCACCCCCTCGCACGCCCCTCACCTCCCACCTCCGTGCAACTGGTTTCCCCCCTATGGTGCCACCCTTGCATCGCTCGCCCCTCTGCTCACCCTCTGCCCGCCCCTTTTCCGTGCCCTCAGTTGGCCCAGCCCCTGCCCGTTGCTGCCCCTCCCCTTGCCCCCTCAACTCCCCTGCCCCCCGTACACCCCAAGTCCCATCCAACCGCCCCCACCCTCCCCCGGCTGCCCGTTTCCGCTCTCCACCCCCGCGACCGTGTGCGGCTTCCAACCGCCCAACGGTGGTGCGCACGGGGCGTTTCTTCGCATGGGCAAGCCTCCCCGGGGGCCCCCCACCCCGCTGGGTCGTTGTTTGGGCAAAAAAAACGAAAAGAAAAGAATCGGACGCGCTAAAATCGTCCTTTCTTTTTCCCGCTTGCCCCTCCCCCGGCACGTGCCGAGCAAGGGGCATAAATGGGTACAACACGAGGACTTCCCGGGAGGTCACCCAGCCCAGTACTGCTCTCGCCCACCGGCGCTTAGCTTCGGAGTTCTGATGGGATCCGGCGTAGTAGCCGAGGTATGATCGTACCACGTCAACCTCGTGCCCCGACCGCTACACACCCCTTGCCCGGGTCCCCCCCTTCATAGTCACACCCCCTGCCCCCTCATGCCATCCGCTCCCCCCGCCCCTACCCTCCGCGTGCCCGCTCCCTTGCCGCCTCTTTTGACCCTCCCTGCCCCCCCTCGCCGTTTCCCACCGCCCGCCATTCGCTCCTCCCCGCCCGTGCGCTCCCCTCCTTTACCTTCTCCTCCCCCCTCCCCTCCTCTGCTGCACGCCTCTTCCTTCCCCTCGCCGACCCACTCCACTCCCTGCCCCTCCTCAATCCGCACCCTGCCCCTCGTATCTCGCCCCCCTATGCTTGGTTTCTCCCCTCCCTGCCCCTCGCCGCCTTTCCCCGCTCCCCACCTCCCCCCTCTCCCTGCCCCCCCCACTCTCCCCCCCCCTTGTCCTTGGCTTCCTACCTCCCTGCCTCACCTTTCCCCCCTCCGTGTGCTCAGCTTCTCCCCTCCCTGCCCCTCCCTCCTCCCCGCCCTGCCCCTCATTTTCCGCCCCCCCCCCCCCACGCCCGGTTTCTCCCCTCCCCGCGCCTCCCTTTCTTTCTCCGTGCCTCTCCTTTGCTCCCTCCCTGCCCCCGCCTGCCCATGCCCCTGTCTTTGGCTTCTCCCCTCCCTGCCCCACGTTTCTTCCCTCCCTGCCCCCCGTCTGCCCCTCCCTTGTTTTCCCCTCACCCATTGCTTCTCTCCTCCCTGCCCTTGATTTCCCACACCCCTGCCCTCGTTTCCTATCATCCATGCCCCTCGTTTCCCCCCTTTGTACGTTCAGCCTCTTCCCTCCCTGCCCCTCCCTTCCTCCCCCCCTGCCCTTTGCTCTCCCCTCGTTACGCTCCCTTCTCCCCATCCCTGCTGCCCTCTTACCACCATCAGCCCATCCCCACGACCAGCCCCCCTCCCACCCTTCAATCCCCCCCTCCCTCTCTCTCTCTCTCTCTCTCTCTCTCTCTCTCTTTCTCACACACACACACACACGCACACTCCCCTCCCCCACCCCCCCCCACCTACATCCTCCCATTCTGCCCCTCCCTGCCCCTTTCCCACCCCCTCGCACGCCCCTCACCTCCCACCTCCGTGCAACTGGTTTCCCCCCTATGGTGCCACCCTTGCATCGCTCGCCCCTCTGCTCACCCTCTGCCCGCCCCTTTTCCGTGCCCTCAGTTGGCCCAGCCCCTGCCCGTTGCTGCCCCTCCCCTTGCCCCCTCAACTCCCCTGCCCCCCGTACACCCCAAGTCCCATCCAACCGCCCCCACCCTCCCCCGGCTGCCCGTTTCCGCTCTCCACCCCCGCGACCGTGTGCGGCTTCCAACCGCCCAACGGTGGTGCGCACGGGGCGTTTCTTCGCATGGGCAAGCCTCCCCGGGGGCCCCCCACCCCGCTGGGTCGTTGTTTGGGCAAAAAAAACGAAAATGAAAAGAATCGGACGCGCTAAAATCGTCCTTTCTTTTTCCCGCTTGCCCCTCCCCCGGCACGTGCCGAGCAAGGGGCATAAATGGGTACAACACGAGGACTTCCCGGGAGGTCACCCAGCCCAGTACTGCTCTCGCCCACCGATAGTGGCTGTGCTTGAAACGCTGTGCCCGTGCGGTCGTGCGGGTTGCTGCCGTGTTGTGGTCCTTTGGTGCTTCCTCCTCCTTAGTCTCTCTCCCTCTCTCCTCTTCTCTTCCCACCTCCCTCTTTCTGTTCCCTTCTTCTATCCTTCCCTTCTCTTCCTACCACCCTCTTCTTTTCCCTACCACTTCTTCTTACTCTTCATCCTTCCTTCCTTCCTTTCTTTCCCCCTTGTCCTACAAACTATATATACCGTCCTCATAGCGATTAGGCTATGTCGAAATTTCCTAGTCTTGGAAAAACCATTATATTCGGCTTGTATTTGCTCTTCCCCTATTAATGAATAACTGCTCTCGCCCACCGGCGCTTAGCTTCGGAGTTCTGATGGGATCCGGCGTAGTAGCCGAGGTATGATCGTACCACGTCAACCTCGCGCCCCGACCGCTACACACCCCTTGCCCGGGTCCCCCCCTTCATAGTCACACCCCCTGCCCCCTCATGCCATCCGCTCCCCCCGCCCCTACCCTCCGCGTGCCCGCTCCCTTGCCGCCTCTTTTGACCCTCCCTGCCCCCCCTCGCCGTTTCCCACCGCCCGCCATTCGCTCCTCCCCGCCCGTGCGCTCCCCTCCTTTACCTTCTCCTCCCCCCTCCCCTCCTCTGCTGCACGCCTCTTCCTTCCCCTCGCCGACCCACTCCACTCCCTGCCCCTCCTCAATCCGCACCCTGCCCCTCGTATCTCGCCCCCCTATGCTTGGTTTCTCCCCTCCCTGCCCCTCGCCGCCTTTCCCCGCTCCCCACCTCCCCCCTCTCCCTGCCCCCCCCCCACTCTCCCCCCCCCTTGTCCTTGGCTTCCTACCTCCCTGCCTCACCTTTCCCCCCTCCGTGTGCTCAGCTTCTCCCCTCCCTGCCCCTCCCTCCTCCCCGCCCTGCCCCTCATTTTCCGCCCCCCCCCCCCCACGCCCGGTTTCTCCCCTCCCCGCGCCTCCCTTTCTTTCTCCGTGCCTCTCCTTTGCTCCCTCCCTGCCCCCGCCTGCCCATGCCCCTGTCTTTGGCTTCTCCCCTCCCTGCCCCACGTTTCTTCCCTCCCTGCCCCCCGTCTGCCCCTCCCTTGTTTTCCCCTCACCCATTGCTTCTCTCCTCCCTGCCCTTGATTTCCCACACCCCTGCCCTCGTTTCCTATCATCCATGCCCCTCGTTTCCCCCCTTTGTACGTTCAGCCTCTTCCCTCCCTGCCCCTCCCTTCCTCCCCCCCTGCCCTTTGCTCTCCCCTCGTTACGCTCCCTTCTCCCCATCCCTGCTGCCCTCTTACCACCATCAGCCCATCCCCACGACCAGCCCCCCTCCCACCCTTCAATCCCCCCCTCCCTCTCTCTCTCTCTCTCTCTCTCTCTCTCTCTTTCTCACACACACACACACACGCACACTCCCCTCCCCCACCCCCCCCCACCTACATCCTCCCATTCTGCCCCTCCCTGCCCCTTTCCCACCCCCTCGCACGCCCCTCACCTCCCACCTCCGTGCAACTGGTTTCCCCCCTATGGTGCCACCCTTGCATCGCTCGCCCCTCTGCTCACCCTCTGCCCGCCCCTTTTCCGTGCCCTCAGTTGGCCCAGCCCCTGCCCGTTGCTGCCCCTCCCCTTGCCCCCTCAACTCCCCTGCCCCCCGTACACCCCAAGTCCCATCCAACCGCCCCCACCCTCCCCCGGCTGCCCGTTTCCGCTCTCCACCCCCGCGACCGTGTGCGGCTTCCAACCGCCCAACGGTGGTGCGCACGGGGCGTTTCTTCGCATGGGCAAGCCTCCCCGGGGGCCCCCCACCCCGCTGGGTCGTTGTTTGGGCAAAAAAAACGAAAAGAAAAGAATCGGACGCGCTAAAATCGTCCTTTCTTTTTCCCGCTTGCCCCTCCCCCGGCACGTGCCGAGCAAGGGGCATAAATGGGTACAACACGAGGACTTCCCGGGAGGTCACCCAGCCCAGTACTGCTCTCGCCCACCGGCGCTTAGCTTCGGAGTTCTGATGGGATCCGGCGTAGTAGCCTGAGGTATGATCGTACCACGTCAACCTCGTGCCCCGACCGCTACACACCCCTTGCCCGGGTCCCCCCCTTCATAGTCACACCCCCTGCCCCCTCATGCCATCCGCTCCCCCCGCCCCTACCCTCCGCGTGCCCGCTCCCTTGCCGCCTCTTTTGACCCTCCCTGCCCCCCCTCGCCGTTTCCCACCGCCCGCCATTCGCTCCTCCCCGCCCGTGCGCTCCCCTCCTTTACCTTCTCCTCCCCCCTCCCCTCCTCTGCTGCACGCCTCTTCCTTCCCCTCGCCGACCCACTCCACTCCCTGCCCCTCCTCAATCCGCACCCTGCCCCTCGTATCTCGCCCCCCTATGCTTGGTTTCTCCCCTCCCTGCCCCTCGCCGCCTTTCCCCGCTCCCCACCTCCCCCCTCTCCCTGCCCCCCCCACTCTCCCCCCCCCTTGTCCTTGGCTTCCTACCTCCCTGCCTCACCTTTCCCCCCTCCGTGTGCTCAGCTTCTCCCCTCCCTGCCCCTCCCTCCTCCCCGCCCTGCCCCTCATTTTCCGCCCCCCCCCCCCACGCCCGGTTTCTCCCCTCCCCGCGCCTCCCTTTCTTTCTCCGTGCCTCTCCTTTGCTCCCTCCCTGCCCCCGCCTGCCCATGCCCCTGTCTTGGCTTCTCCCCTCCCTGCCCCACGTTTCTTCCCTCCCTGCCCCCCGTCTGCCCCTCCCTTGTTTTCCCCTCACCCATTGCTTCTCTCCTCCCTGCCCTTGATTTCCCACACCCCTGCCCTCGTTTCCTATCATCCATGCCCCTCGTTTCCCCCCTTTGTACGTTCAGCCTCTTCCCTCCCTGCCCCTCCCTTCCTCCCCCCCTGCCCTTTGCTCTCCCCTCGTTACGCTCCCTTCTCCCCATCCCTGCTGCCCTCTTACCACCATCAGCCCATCCCCACGACCAGCCCCCCTCCCACCCTTCAATCCCCCCCTCCCTCCTCTCTCTCTCTCTCTCTCTCTCTTTCTCTCACACACACACACACGCACACTCCCCTCCCCCACCCCCCCCCACCTACATCCTCCCATTCTGCCCCTCCCTGCCCCTTTCCCACCCCCTCGCACGCCCCTCACCTCCCACCTCCGTGCAACTGGTTTCCCCCCTATGGTGCCACCCTTGCATCGCTCGCCCCTCTGCTCACCCTCTGCCCGCCCCTTTTCCGTGCCCTCAGTTGGCCCAGCCCCTGCCCGTTGCTGCCCCTCCCCTTGCCCCCTCAACTCCCCTGCCCCCCGTACACCCCAAGTCCCATCCAACCGCCCCCACCCTCCCCCGGCTGCCCGTTTCCGCTCTCCACCCCCGCGACCGTGTGCGGCTTCCAACCGCCCAACGGTGGTGCGCACGGGGCGTTTCTTCGCACGGGCAAGCCTCCCCGGGGGCCCCCCACCCCGCTGGGTCGTTGTTTGGGCAAAAAAAACGAAAATGAAAGAATCGGACGCGCTAAAATCGTCCTTTCTTTTTCCCGCTTGCCCCTCCCCCGGCACGTGCCGAGCAAGGGGCATAAATGGGTACAACACGAGGACTTCCCGGGAGGTCACCCAGCCCAGTACTGCTCTCGCCCACCGATAGTGGCTGTGCTTGAAACGCTGTGCCCGTGCGGTCGTGCGGGTTGCTGCCGTGTTGTGGTCCTTTGGTGCTTCCTCCTCCTTAGTCTCTCTCCCTCTCTCCTCTTCTCTTCCCACCTCCCTCTTTCTGTTCCCTTCTTCTATCCTTCCCTTCTCTTCCTACCACCCTCTTCTTTTCCCTACCACTTCTTCTTACTCTTTCATCCTTCCTTCCCTTCCTTTCTTTCCCCCTTGTCCTACAAACTATATATACCGTCCTCATAGCGATAAGGCTATGTCGAAATTTCCTAGTCTTGGAAAAACCATTATATTCGGCTTGTATTTGCTCTTCCCCTATTAATGAATAACTGCTCTCGCCCACCGGCGCTTAGCTTCGGAGTTCTGATGGGATCCGGCGTAGTAGCCGAGGTATGATCGTACCACGTCAACCTCGCGCCCCGACCGCTACACACCCCTTGCCCGGGTCCCCCCCTTCATAGTCACACCCCCTGCCCCCTCATGCCATCCGCTCCCCCCGCCCCTACCCTCCGCGTGCCCGCTCCCTTGCCGCCTCTTTTGACCCTCCCTGCCCCCCCTCGCCGTTTCCCACCGCCCGCCATTCGCTCCTCCCCGCCCGTGCGCTCCCCTCCTTTACCTTCTCCTCCCCCCTCCCCTCCTCTGCTGCACGCCTCTTCCTTCCCCTCGCCGACCCACTCCACTCCCTGCCCCTCCTCAATCCGCACCCTGCCCCTCGTATCTCGCCCCCCTATGCTTGGTTTCTCCCCTCCCTGCCCCTCGCCGCCTTTCCCCGCTCCCCACCTCCCCCCTCTCCCTGCCCCCCCCCACTCTCCCCCCCCCTTGTCCTTGGCTTCCTACCTCCCTGCCTCACCTTTCCCCCCTCCGTGTGCTCAGCTTCTCCCCTCCCTGCCCCTCCCTCCTCCCCGCCCTGCCCCTCATTTTCCGCCCCCCCCCCCCACGCCCGGTTTCTCCCCTCCCCGCGCCTCCCTTTCTTTCTCCGTGCCTCTCCTTTGCTCCCTCCCTGCCCCCGCCTGCCCATGCCCCTGTCTTTGGCTTCTCCCCTCCCTGCCCCACGTTTCTTCCCTCCCTGCCCCCCGTCTGCCCCTCCCTTGTTTTCCCCTCACCCATTGCTTCTCTCCTCCCTGCCCTTGATTTCCCACACCCCTGCCCTCGTTTCCTATCATCCATGCCCCTCGTTTCCCCCCTTTGTACGTTCAGCCTCTTCCCTCCCTGCCCCTCCCTTCCTCCCCCCCTGCCCTTTGCTCTCCCCTCGTTACGCTCCCTTCTCCCCATCCCTGCTGCCCTCTTACCACCATCAGCCCATCCCCACGACCAGCCCCCCTCCCACCCTTCAATCCCCCCCTCCCTCTCTCTCTCTCTCTCTCTCTCTCTCTTTCTCTCACACACACACACACACGCACACTCCCCTCCCCCACCCCCCCCCACCTACATCCTCCCATTCTGCCCCTCCCTGCCCCTTTCCCACCCCCTCGCACGCCCCTCACCTCCCACCTCCGTGCAACTGGTTTCCCCCCTATGGTGCCACCCTTGCATCGCTCGCCCCTCTGCTCACCCTCTGCCCGCCCCTTTTCCGTGCCCTCAGTTGGCCCAGCCCCTGCCCGTTGCTGCCCCTCCCCTTGCCCCCTCAACTCCCCTGCCCCCCGTACACCCCAAGTCCCATCCAACCGCCCCCACCCTCCCCCGGCTGCCCGTTTCCGCTCTCCACCCCCGCGACCGTGTGCGGCTTCCAACCGCCCAACGGTGGTGCGCACGGGGCGTTTCTTCGCACGGGCAAGCCTCCCCGGGGGCCCCCCACCCCGCTGGGTCGTTGTTTGGGCAAAAAAAAACGAAAATGAAAGAATCGGACGCGCTAAAATCGTCCTTTCTTTTTCCCGCTTGCCCCTCCCCCGGCACGTGCCGAGCAAGGGGCATAAATGGGTACAACACGAGGACTTCCCGGGAGGTCACCCAGCCCAGTACTGCTCTCGCCCACCGATAGTGGCTGTGCTTGAAACGCTGTGCCCGTGCGGTCGTGCGGGTTGCTGCCGTGTTGTGGTCCTTTGGTGCTTCCTCCTCCTTAGTCTCTCTCCCTCTCTCCTCTTCTCTTCCCACCTCCCTCTTTCTGTTCCCTTCTTCTATCCTTCCCTTCTCTTCCTACCACCCTCTTCTTTTCCCTACCACTTCTTCTTACTCTTTCATCCTTCCTTCCCTTCCTTTCTTTCCCCCTTGTCCTACAAACTATATATACCGTCCTCATAGCGATAAGGCTATGTCGAAATTTCCTAGTCTTGGAAAAACCATTATATTCGGCTTGTATTTGCTCTTCCCCTATTAATGAATAACTGCTCTCGCCCACCGGCGCTTAGCTTCGGAGTTCTGATGGGATCCGGCGTAGTAGCCGAGGTATGATCGTACCACGTCAACCTCGCGCCCCGACCGCTACACACCCCTTGCCCGGGTCCCCCCCTTCATAGTCACACCCCCTGCCCCCTCATGCCATCCGCTCCCCCCGCCCCTACCCTCCGCGTGCCCGCTCCCTTGCCGCCTCTTTTGACCCTCCCTGCCCCCCCTCGCCGTTTCCCACCGCCCGCCATTCGCTCCTCCCCGCCCGTGCGCTCCCCTCCTTTACCTTCTCCTCCCCCCTCCCCTCCTCTGCTGCACGCCTCTTCCTTCCCCTCGCCGACCCACTCCACTCCCTGCCCCTCCTCAATCCGCACCCTGCCCCTCGTATCTCGCCCCCCTATGCTTGGTTTCTCCCCTCCCTGCCCCTCGCCGCCTTTCCCCGCTCCCCACCTCCCCCCTCTCCCTGCCCCCCCCACTCTCCCCCCCCCTTGTCCTTGGCTTCCTACCTCCCTGCCTCACCTTTCCCCCCTCCGTGTGCTCAGCTTCTCCCCTCCCTGCCCCTCCCTCCTCCCCGCCCTGCCCCTCATTTTCCGCCCCCCCCCCCACGCCCGGTTTCTCCCCTCCCCGCGCCTCCCTTTCTTTCTCCGTGCCTCTCCTTTGCTCCCTCCCTGCCCCCGCCTGCCCATGCCCCTGTCCTTGGCTTCTCCCCTCCCTGCCCCACGTTTCTTCCCTCCCTGCCCCCCGTCTGCCCCTCCCTTGTTCTCCCCTCACCCATTGCTTCTCTCCTCCCTGCCCTTGATTTCCCACACCCCTGCCCTCGTTTCCTATCATCCATGCCCCTCGTTTCCCCCCTTTGTACGTTCAGCCTCTTCCCTCCCTGCCCCTCCCTTCCTCCCCCCCTGCCCTTTGCTCTCCCCTCGTTACGCTCCCTTCTCCCCATCCCTGCTGCCCTCTTACCACCATCAGCCCATCCCCACGACCAGCCCCCCTCCCACCCTTCAATCCCCCCCTCCCTCCTCTCTCTCTCTCTCTCTCTCTCTTCTCTCACACACACACACACGCACACTCCCCTCCCCCACCCCCCCCACCTACATCCTCCCATTCTGCCCCTCCCTGCCCCTTTCCCACCCCCTCGCACGCCCCTCACCTCCCACCTCCGTGCAACTGGTTTCCCCCCTATGGTGCCACCCTTGCATCGCTCGCCCCTCTGCTCACCCTCTGCCCGCCCCTTTTCCGTGCCCTCAGTTGGCCCAGCCCCTGCCCGTTGCTGCCCCTCCCCTTGCCCCCTCAACTCCCCTGCCCCCCGTACACCCCAAGTCCCATCCAACCGCCCCCACCCTCCCCCGGCTGCCCGTTTCCGCTCTCCACCCCCGCGACCGTGTGCGGCTTCCAACCGCCCAACGGTGGTGCGCACGGGGCGTTTCTTCGCACGGGCAAGCCTCCCCGGGGGCCCCCCACCCCGCTGGGTCGTTGTTTGGGCAAAAAAAACGAAAATGAAAGAATCGGACGCGCTAAAATCGTCCTTTCTTTTTCCCGCTTGCCCCTCCCCCGGCACGTGCCGAGCAAGGGGCATAAATGGGTACAACACGAGGACTTCCCGGGAGGTCACCCAGCCCAGTACTGCTCTCGCCCACCGATAGTGGCTGTGCTTGAAACGCTGTGCCCGTGCGGTCGTGCGGGTTGCTGCCGTGTTGTGGTCCTTTGGTGCTTCCTCCTCCTTAGTCTCTCTCCCTCTCTCCTCTTCTCTTCCCACCTCCCTCTTTCTGTTCCCTTCTTCTATCCTTCCCTTCTCTTCCTACCACCCTCTTCTTTTCCCTACCACTTCTTCTTACTCTTTCATCCTTCCTTCCCTTCCTTTCTTTCCCCCTTGTCCTACAAACTATATATACCGTCCTCATAGCGATAAGGCTATGTCGAAATTTCCTAGTCTTGGAAAAACCATTATATTCGGCTTGTATTTGCTCTTCCCCTATTAATGAATAACTGCTCTCGCCCACCGGCGCTTAGCTTCGGAGTTCTGATGGGATCCGGCGTAGTAGCCGAGGTATGATCGTACCACGTCAACCTCGCGCCCCGACCGCTACACACCCCTTGCCCGGGTCCCCCCCTTCATAGTCACACCCCCTGCCCCCTCATGCCATCCGCTCCCCCCGCCCCTACCCTCCGCGTGCCCGCTCCCTTGCCGCCTCTTTTGACCCTCCCTGCCCCCCCTCGCCGTTTCCCACCGCCCGCCATTCGCTCCTCCCCGCCCGTGCGCTCCCCTCCTTTACCTTCTCCTCCCCCCTCCCCTCCTCTGCTGCACGCCTCTTCCTTCCCCTCGCCGACCCACTCCACTCCCTGCCCCTCCTCAATCCGCACCCTGCCCCTCGTATCTCGCCCCCCTATGCTTGGTTTCTCCCCTCCCTGCCCCTCGCCGCCTTTCCCCGCTCCCCACCTCCCCCCTCTCCCTGCCCCCCCCACTCTCCCCCCCCTTGTCCTTGGCTTCCTACCTCCCTGCCTCACCTTTCCCCCCTCCGTGTGCTCAGCTTCTCCCCTCCCTGCCCCTCCCTCCTCCCCGCCCTGCCCCTCATTTTCCGCCCCCCCCCCACGCCCGGTTTCTCCCCTCCCCGCGCCTCCCTTTCTTTCTCCGTGCCTCTCCTTTGCTCCCTCCCTGCCCCCGCCTGCCCATGCCCCTGTCCTTGGCTTCTCCCCTCCCTGCCCCACGTTTCTTCCCTCCCTGCCCCCCGTCTGCCCCTCCCTTGTTCTCCCCTCACCCATTGCTTCTCTCCTCCCTGCCCTTGATTTCCCACACCCCTGCCCTCGTTTCCTATCATCCATGCCCCTCGTTTCCCCCCTTTGTACGTTCAGCCTCTTCCCTCCCTGCCCCTCCCTTCCTCCCCCCCTGCCCTTTGCTCTCCCCTCGTTACGCTCCCTTCTCCCCATCCCTGCTGCCCTCTTACCACCATCAGCCCATCCCCACGACCAGCCCCCCTCCCACCCTTCAATCCCCCCCTCCCTCCCTCTCTCTCTCTCTCTCTCTTTCTCTCACACACACACACACACGCACACTCCCCTCCCCCACCCCCCCCCACCTACATCCTCCCATTCTGCCCCTCCCTGCCCCTTTCCCACCCCCTCGCACGCCCCTCACCTCCCACCTCCGTGCAACTGGTTTCCCCCCTATGGTGCCACCCTTGCATCGCTCGCCCCTCTGCTCACCCTCTGCCCGCCCCTTTTCCGTGCCCTCAGTTGGCCCAGCCCCTGCCCGTTGCTGCCCCTCCCCTTGCCCCCTCAACTCCCCTGCCCCCCGTACACCCCAAGTCCCATCCAACCGCCCCCACCCTCCCCCGGCTGCCCGTTTCCGCTCTCCACCCCCGCGACCGTGTGCGGCTTCCAACCGCCCAACGGTGGTGCGCACGGGGCGTTTCTTCGCACGGGCAAGCCTCCCCGGGGGCCCCCCACCCCGCTGGGTCGTTGTTTGGGCAAAAAAAACGAAAATGAAAGAATCGGACGCGCTAAAATCGTCCTTTCTTTTTCCCGCTTGCCCCTCCCCCGGCACGTGCCGAGCAAGGGGCATAAATGGGTACAACACGAGGACTTCCCGGGAGGTCACCCAGCCCAGTACTGCTCTCGCCCACCGATAGTGGCTGTGCTTGAAACGCTGTGCCCGTGCGGTCGTGCGGGTTGCTGCCGTGTTGTGGTCCTTTGGTGCTTCCTCCTCCTTAGTCTCTCTCCCTCTCTCCTCTTCTCTTCCCACCTCCCTCTTTCTGTTCCCTTCTTCTATCCTTCCCTTCTCTTCCTACCACCCTCTTCTTTTCCCTACCACTTCTTCTTACTCTTTCATCCTTCCTTCCCTTCCTTTCTTTCCCCCTTGTCCTACAAACTATATATACCGTCCTCATAGCGATAAGGCTATGTCGAAATTTCCTAGTCTTGGAAAAACCATTATATTCGGCTTGTATTTGCTCTTCCCCTATTAATGAATAACTGCTCTCGCCCACCGGCGCTTAGCTTCGGAGTTCTGATGGGATCCGGCGTAGTAGCCGAGGTATGATCGTACCACGTCAACCTCGCGCCCCGACCGCTACACACCCCTTGCCCGGGTCCCCCCCTTCATAGTCACACCCCCTGCCCCCTCATGCCATCCGCTCCCCCCGCCCCTACCCTCCGCGTGCCCGCTCCCTTGCCGCCTCTTTTGACCCTCCCTGCCCCCCCTCGCCGTTTCCCACCGCCCGCCATTCGCTCCTCCCCGCCCGTGCGCTCCCCTCCTTTACCTTCTCCTCCCCCCTCCCCTCCTCTGCTGCACGCCTCTTCCTTCCCCTCGCCGACCCACTCCACTCCCTGCCCCTCCTCAATCCGCACCCTGCCCCTCGTATCTCGCCCCCCTATGCTTGGTTTCTCCCCTCCCTGCCCCTCGCCGCCTTTCCCCGCTCCCCACCTCCCCCCTCTCCCTGCCCCCCCCCACTCTCCCCCCCCTTGTCCTTGGCTTCCTACCTCCCTGCCTCACCTTTCCCCCCTCCGTGTGCTCAGCTTCTCCCCTCCCTGCCCCTCCCTCCTCCCCGCCCTGCCCCTCATTTTCCGCCCCCCCCCCACGCCCGGTTTCTCCCCTCCCCGCGCCTCCCTTTCTTTCTCCGTGCCTCTCCTTTGCTCCCTCCCTGCCCCCGCCTGCCCATGCCCCTGTCCTTGGCTTCTCCCCTCCCTGCCCCACGTTTCTTCCCTCCCTGCCCCCCGTCTGCCCCTCCCTTGTTCTCCCCTCACCCATTGCTTCTCTCCTCCCTGCCCTTGATTTCCCACACCCCTGCCCTCGTTTCCTATCATCCATGCCCCTCGTTTCCCCCCTTTGTACGTTCAGCCTCTTCCCTCCCTGCCCCTCCCTTCCTCCCCCCCTGCCCTTTGCTCTCCCCTCGTTACGCTCCCTTCTCCCCATCCCTGCTGCCCTCTTACCACCATCAGCCCATCCCCACGACCAGCCCCCCTCCCACCCTTCAATCCCCCCCTCCCTCCCTCTCTCTCTCTCTCTCTCTTTCTCTCACACACACACACACGCACACTCCCCTCCCCCACCCCCCCCACCTACATCCTCCCATTCTGCCCCTCCCTGCCCCTTTCCCACCCCCTCGCACGCCCCTCACCTCCCACCTCCGTGCAACTGGTTTCCCCCCTATGGTGCCACCCTTGCATCGCTCGCCCCTCTGCTCACCCTCTGCCCGCCCCTTTTCCGTGCCCTCAGTTGGCCCAGCCCCTGCCCGTTGCTGCCCCTCCCCTTGCCCCCTCAACTCCCCTGCCCCCCGTACACCCCAAGTCCCATCCAACCGCCCCCACCCTCCCCCGGCTGCCCGTTTCCGCTCTCCACCCCCGCGACCGTGTGCGGCTTCCAACCGCCCAACGGTGGTGCGCACGGGGCGTTTCTTCGCACGGGCAAGCCTCCCCGGGGGCCCCCCACCCCGCTGGGTCGTTGTTTGGGCAAAAAAAAACGAAAATGAAAGAATCGGACGCGCTAAAATCGTCCTTTCTTTTTCCCGCTTGCCCCTCCCCCGGCACGTGCCGAGCAAGGGGCATAAATGGGTACAACACGAGGACTTCCCGGGAGGTCACCCAGCCCAGTACTGCTCTCGCCCACCGATAGTGGCTGTGCTTGAAACGCTGTGCCCGTGCGGTCGTGCGGGTTGCTGCCGTGTTGTGGTCCTTTGGTGCTTCCTCCTCCTTAGTCTCTCTCCCTCTCTCCTCTTCTCTTCCCACCTCCCTCTTTCTGTTCCCTTCTTCTATCCTTCCCTTCTCTTCCTACCACCCTCTTCTTTTCCCTACCACTTCTTCTTACTCTTTCATCCTTCCTTCCCTTCCTTTCTTTCCCCCTTGTCCTACAAACTATATATACCGTCCTCATAGCGATAAGGCTATGTCGAAATTTCCTAGTCTTGGAAAAACCATTATATTCGGCTTGTATTTGCTCTTCCCCTATTAATGAATAACTGCTCTCGCCCACCGGCGCTTAGCTTCGGAGTTCTGATGGGATCCGGCGTAGTAGCCGAGGTATGATCGTACCACGTCAACCTCGCGCCCCGACCGCTACACACCCCTTGCCCGGGTCCCCCCCTTCATAGTCACACCCCCTGCCCCCTCATGCCATCCGCTCCCCCCGCCCCTACCCTCCGCGTGCCCGCTCCCTTGCCGCCTCTTTTGACCCTCCCTGCCCCCCCTCGCCGTTTCCCACCGCCCGCCATTCGCTCCTCCCCGCCCGTGCGCTCCCCTCCTTTACCTTCTCCTCCCCCCTCCCCTCCTCTGCTGCACGCCTCTTCCTTCCCCTCGCCGACCCACTCCACTCCCTGCCCCTCCTCAATCCGCACCCTGCCCCTCGTATCTCGCCCCCCTATGCTTGGTTTCTCCCCTCCCTGCCCCTCGCCGCCTTTCCCCGCTCCCCACCTCCCCCCTCTCCCTGCCCCCCCCCACTCTCCCCCCCCTTGTCCTTGGCTTCCTACCTCCCTGCCTCACCTTTCCCCCCTCCGTGTGCTCAGCTTCTCCCCTCCCTGCCCCTCCCTCCTCCCCGCCCTGCCCCTCATTTTCCGCCCCCCCCCCACGCCCGGTTTCTCCCCTCCCCGCGCCTCCCTTTCTTTCTCCGTGCCTCTCCTTTGCTCCCTCCCTGCCCCCGCCTGCCCATGCCCCTGTCCTTGGCTTCTCCCCTCCCTGCCCCACGTTTCTTCCCTCCCTGCCCCCCGTCTGCCCCTCCCTTGTTCTCCCCTCACCCATTGCTTCTCTCCTCCCTGCCCTTGATTTCCCACACCCCTGCCCTCGTTTCCTATCATCCATGCCCCTCGTTTCCCCCCTTTGTACGTTCAGCCTCTTCCCTCCCTGCCCCTCCCTTCCTCCCCCCCTGCCCTTTGCTCTCCCCTCGTTACGCTCCCTTCTCCCCATCCCTGCTGCCCTCTTACCACCATCAGCCCATCCCCACGACCAGCCCCCCTCCCACCCTTCAATCCCCCCCTCCCTCCCTCTCTCTCTCTCTCTCTCTCTTTCTCTCACACACACACACACGCACACTCCCCTCCCCCACCCCCCCCACCTACATCCTCCCATTCTGCCCCTCCCTGCCCCTTTCCCACCCCCTCGCACGCCCCTCACCTCCCACCTCCGTGCAACTGGTTTCCCCCCTATGGTGCCACCCTTGCATCGCTCGCCCCTCTGCTCACCCTCTGCCCGCCCCTTTTCCGTGCCCTCAGTTGGCCCAGCCCCTGCCCGTTGCTGCCCCTCCCCTTGCCCCCTCAACTCCCCTGCCCCCCGTACACCCCAAGTCCCATCCAACCGCCCCCACCCTCCCCCGGCTGCCCGTTTCCGCTCTCCACCCCCGCGACCGTGTGCGGCTTCCAACCGCCCAACGGTGGTGCGCACGGGGCGTTTCTTCGCACGGGCAAGCCTCCCCGGGGGCCCCCCACCCCGCTGGGTCGTTGTTTGGGCAAAAAAAAACGAAAATGAAAGAATCGGACGCGCTAAAATCGTCCTTTCTTTTTCCCGCTTGCCCCTCCCCCGGCACGTGCCGAGCAAGGGGCATAAATGGGTACAACACGAGGACTTCCCGGGAGGTCACCCAGCCCAGTACTGCTCTCGCCCACCGATAGTGGCTGTGCTTGAAACGCTGTGCCCGTGCGGTCGTGCGGGTTGCTGCCGTGTTGTGGTCCTTTGGTGCTTCCTCCTCCTTAGTCTCTCTCCCTCTCTCCTCTTCTCTTCCCACCTCCCTCTTTCTGTTCCCTTCTTCTATCCTTCCCTTCTCTTCCTACCACCCTCTTCTTTTCCCTACCACTTCTTCTTACTCTTTCATCCTTCCTTCCCTTCCTTTCTTTCCCCCTTGTCCTACAAACTATATATACCGTCCTCATAGCGATAAGGCTATGTCGAAATTTCCTAGTCTTGGAAAAACCATTATATTCGGCTTGTATTTGCTCTTCCCCTATTAATGAATAACTGCTCTCGCCCACCGGCGCTTAGCTTCGGAGTTCTGATGGGATCCGGCGTAGTAGCCGAGGTATGATCGTACCACGTCAACCTCGCGCCCCGACCGCTACACACCCCTTGCCCGGGTCCCCCCCTTCATAGTCACACCCCCTGCCCCCTCATGCCATCCGCTCCCCCCGCCCCTACCCTCCGCGTGCCCGCTCCCTTGCCGCCTCTTTTGACCCTCCCTGCCCCCCCTCGCCGTTTCCCACCGCCCGCCATTCGCTCCTCCCCGCCCGTGCGCTCCCCTCCTTTACCTTCTCCTCCCCCCTCCCCTCCTCTGCTGCACGCCTCTTCCTTCCCCTCGCCGACCCACTCCACTCCCTGCCCCTCCTCAATCCGCACCCTGCCCCTCGTATCTCGCCCCCCTATGCTTGGTTTCTCCCCTCCCTGCCCCTCGCCGCCTTTCCCCGCTCCCCACCTCCCCCCTCTCCCTGCCCCCCCCACTCTCCCCCCCCTTGTCCTTGGCTTCCTACCTCCCTGCCTCACCTTTCCCCCCTCCGTGTGCTCAGCTTCTCCCCTCCCTGCCCCTCCCTCCTCCCCGCCCTGCCCCTCATTTTCCGCCCCCCCCCCACGCCCGGTTTCTCCCCTCCCCGCGCCTCCCTTTCTTTCTCCGTGCCTCTCCTTTGCTCCCTCCCTGCCCCCGCCTGCCCATGCCCCTGTCCTTGGCTTCTCCCCTCCCTGCCCCACGTTTCTTCCCTCCCTGCCCCCCGTCTGCCCCTCCCTTGTTCTCCCCTCACCCATTGCTTCTCTCCTCCCTGCCCTTGATTTCCCACACCCCTGCCCTCGTTTCCTATCATCCATGCCCCTCGTTTCCCCCCTTTGTACGTTCAGCCTCTTCCCTCCCTGCCCCTCCCTTCCTCCCCCCCTGCCCTTTGCTCTCCCCTCGTTACGCTCCCTTCTCCCCATCCCTGCTGCCCTCTTACCACCATCAGCCCATCCCCACGACCAGCCCCCCTCCCACCCTTCAATCCCCCCCTCCCTCCCTCTCTCTCTCTCTCTCTCTCTTTCTCTCACACACACACACACACGCACACTCCCCTCCCCCACCCCCCCCACCTACATCCTCCCATTCTGCCCCTCCCTGCCCCTTTCCCACCCCCTCGCACGCCCCTCACCTCCCACCTCCGTGCAACTGGTTTCCCCCCTATGGTGCCACCCTTGCATCGCTCGCCCCTCTGCTCACCCTCTGCCCGCCCCTTTTCCGTGCCCTCAGTTGGCCCAGCCCCTGCCCGTTGCTGCCCCTCCCCTTGCCCCCTCAACTCCCCTGCCCCCCGTACACCCCAAGTCCCATCCAACCGCCCCCACCCTCCCCCGGCTGCCCGTTTCCGCTCTCCACCCCCGCGACCGTGTGCGGCTTCCAACCGCCCAACGGTGGTGCGCACGGGGCGTTTCTTCGCACGGGCAAGCCTCCCCGGGGGCCCCCCACCCCGCTGGGTCGTTGTTTGGGCAAAAAAAACGAAAATGAAAGAATCGGACGCGCTAAAATCGTCCTTTCTTTTTCCCGCTTGCCCCTCCCCCGGCACGTGCCGAGCAAGGGGCATAAATGGGTACAACACGAGGACTTCCCGGGAGGTCACCCAGCCCAGTACTGCTCTCGCCCACCGATAGTGGCTGTGCTTGAAACGCTGTGCCCGTGCGGTCGTGCGGGTTGCTGCCGTGTTGTGGTCCTTTGGTGCTTCCTCCTCCTTAGTCTCTCTCCCTCTCTCCTCTTCTCTTCCCACCTCCCTCTTTCTGTTCCCTTCTTCTATCCTTCCCTTCTCTTCCTACCACCCTCTTCTTTTCCCTACCACTTCTTCTTACTCTTTCATCCTTCCTTCCCTTCCTTTCTTTCCCCCTTGTCCTACAAACTATATATACCGTCCTCATAGCGATAAGGCTATGTCGAAATTTCCTAGTCTTGGAAAAACCATTATATTCGGCTTGTATTTGCTCTTCCCCTATTAATGAATAACTGCTCTCGCCCACCGGCGCTTAGCTTCGGAGTTCTGATGGGATCCGGCGTAGTAGCCGAGGTATGATCGTACCACGTCAACCTCGCGCCCCGACCGCTACACACCCCTTGCCCGGGTCCCCCCCTTCATAGTCACACCCCCTGCCCCCTCATGCCATCCGCTCCCCCCGCCCCTACCCTCCGCGTGCCCGCTCCCTTGCCGCCTCTTTTGACCCTCCCTGCCCCCCCTCGCCGTTTCCCACCGCCCGCCATTCGCTCCTCCCCGCCCGTGCGCTCCCCTCCTTTACCTTCTCCTCCCCCCTCCCCTCCTCTGCTGCACGCCTCTTCCTTCCCCTCGCCGACCCACTCCACTCCCTGCCCCTCCTCAATCCGCACCCTGCCCCTCGTATCTCGCCCCCCTATGCTTGGTTTCTCCCCTCCCTGCCCCTCGCCGCCTTTCCCCGCTCCCCACCTCCCCCCTCTCCCTGCCCCCCCCCACTCTCCCCCCCCTTGTCCTTGGCTTCCTACCTCCCTGCCTCACCTTTCCCCCCTCCGTGTGCTCAGCTTCTCCCCTCCCTGCCCCTCCCTCCTCCCCGCCCTGCCCCTCATTTTCCGCCCCCCCCCCACGCCCGGTTTCTCCCCTCCCCGCGCCTCCCTTTCTTTCTCCGTGCCTCTCCTTTGCTCCCTCCCTGCCCCCGCCTGCCCATGCCCCTGTCCTTGGCTTCTCCCCTCCCTGCCCCACGTTTCTTCCCTCCCTGCCCCCCGTCTGCCCCTCCCTTGTTCTCCCCTCACCCATTGCTTCTCTCCTCCCTGCCCTTGATTTCCCACACCCCTGCCCTCGTTTCCTATCATCCATGCCCCTCGTTTCCCCCCTTTGTACGTTCAGCCTCTTCCCTCCCTGCCCCTCCCTTCCTCCCCCCCTGCCCTTTGCTCTCCCCTCGTTACGCTCCCTTCTCCCCATCCCTGCTGCCCTCTTACCACCATCAGCCCATCCCCACGACCAGCCCCCCTCCCACCCTTCAATCCCCCCCTCCCTCCCTCTCTCTCTCTCTCTCTCTTTCTCTCACACACACACACACGCACACTCCCCTCCCCCACCCCCCCCCACCTACATCCTCCCATTCTGCCCCTCCCTGCCCCTTTCCCACCCCCTCGCACGCCCCTCACCTCCCACCTCCGTGCAACTGGTTTCCCCCCTATGGTGCCACCCTTGCATCGCTCGCCCCTCTGCTCACCCTCTGCCCGCCCCTTTTCCGTGCCCTCAGTTGGCCCAGCCCCTGCCCGTTGCTGCCCCTCCCCTTGCCCCCTCAACTCCCCTGCCCCCCGTACACCCCAAGTCCCATCCAACCGCCCCCACCCTCCCCCGGCTGCCCGTTTCCGCTCTCCACCCCCGCGACCGTGTGCGGCTTCCAACCGCCCAACGGTGGTGCGCACGGGGCGTTTCTTCGCACGGGCAAGCCTCCCCGGGGGCCCCCCACCCCGCTGGGTCGTTGTTTGGGCAAAAAAAAACGAAAATGAAAGAATCGGACGCGCTAAAATCGTCCTTTCTTTTTCCCGCTTGCCCCTCCCCCGGCACGTGCCGAGCAAGGGGCATAAATGGGTACAACACGAGGACTTCCCGGGAGGTCACCCAGCCCAGTACTGCTCTCGCCCACCGATAGTGGCTGTGCTTGAAACGCTGTGCCCGTGCGGTCGTGCGGGTTGCTGCCGTGTTGTGGTCCTTTGGTGCTTCCTCCTCCTTAGTCTCTCTCCCTCTCTCCTCTTCTCTTCCCACCTCCCTCTTTCTGTTCCCTTCTTCTATCCTTCCCTTCTCTTCCTACCACCCTCTTCTTTTCCCTACCACTTCTTCTTACTCTTTCATCCTTCCTTCCCTTCCTTTCTTTCCCCCTTGTCCTACAAACTATATATACCGTCCTCATAGCGATAAGGCTATGTCGAAATTTCCTAGTCTTGGAAAAACCATTATATTCGGCTTGTATTTGCTCTTCCCCTATTAATGAATAACTGCTCTCGCCCACCGGCGCTTAGCTTCGGAGTTCTGATGGGATCCGGCGTAGTAGCCGAGGTATGATCGTACCACGTCAACCTCGCGCCCCGACCGCTACACACCCCTTGCCCGGGTCCCCCCCTTCATAGTCACACCCCCTGCCCCCTCATGCCATCCGCTCCCCCCGCCCCTACCCTCCGCGTGCCCGCTCCCTTGCCGCCTCTTTTGACCCTCCCTGCCCCCCCTCGCCGTTTCCCACCGCCCGCCATTCGCTCCTCCCCGCCCGTGCGCTCCCCTCCTTTACCTTCTCCTCCCCCCTCCCCTCCTCTGCTGCACGCCTCTTCCTTCCCCTCGCCGACCCACTCCACTCCCTGCCCCTCCTCAATCCGCACCCTGCCCCTCGTATCTCGCCCCCCTATGCTTGGTTTCTCCCCTCCCTGCCCCTCGCCGCCTTTCCCCGCTCCCCACCTCCCCCCTCCCCCCCCCACTCTCCCCCCCCCTTGTCCTTGGCTTCCTACCTCCCTGCCTCACCTTTCCCCCCTCCGTGTGCTCAGCTTCTCCCCTCCCTGCCCCTCCCTCCTCCCCGCCCTGCCCCTCATTTTCCGCCCCCCCCCCCACGCCCGGTTTCTCCCCTCCCCGCGCCTCCCTTTCTTTCTCCGTGCCTCTCCTTTGCTCCCTCCCTGCCCCCGCCTGCCCATGCCCCTGTCCTTGGCTTCTCCCCTCCCTGCCCCACGTTTCTTCCCTCCCTGCCCCCCGTCTGCCCCTCCCTTGTTCTCCCCTCACCCATTGCTTCTCTCCTCCCTGCCCTTGATTTCCCACACCCCTGCCCTCGTTTCCTATCATCCATGCCCCTCGTTTCCCCCCTTTGTACGTTCAGCCTCTTCCCTCCCTGCCCCTCCCTTCCTCCCCCCCTGCCCTTTGCTCTCCCCTCGTTACGCTCCCTTCTCCCCATCCCTGCTGCCCTCTTACCACCATCAGCCCATCCCCACGACCAGCCCCCCTCCCACCCTTCAATCCCCCCTCCCTCCCTCTCTCTCTCTCTCTCTCTCTTTCTCTCACACACACACACACGCACACTCCCCTCCCCCACCCCCCCCCACCTACATCCTCCCATTCTGCCCCTCCCTGCCCCTTTCCCACCCCCTCGCACGCCCCTCACCTCCCACCTCCGTGCAACTGGTTTCCCCCCTATGGTGCCACCCTTGCATCGCTCGCCCCTCTGCTCACCCTCTGCCCGCCCCTTTTCCGTGCCCTCAGTTGGCCCAGCCCCTGCCCGTTGCTGCCCCTCCCCTTGCCCCCTCAACTCCCCTGCCCCCCGTACACCCCAAGTCCCATCCAACCGCCCCCACCCTCCCCCGGCTGCCCGTTTCCGCTCTCCACCCCCGCGACCGTGTGCGGCTTCCAACCGCCCAACGGTGGTGCGCACGGGGCGTTTCTTCGCACGGGCAAGCCTCCCCGGGGGCCCCCCACCCCGCTGGGTCGTTGTTTGGGCAAAAAAAAACGAAAATGAAAGAATCGGACGCGCTAAAATCGTCCTTTCTTTTTCCCGCTTGCCCCTCCCCCGGCACGTGCCGAGCAAGGGGCATAAATGGGTACAACACGAGGACTTCCCGGGAGGTCACCCAGCCCAGTACTGCTCTCGCCCACCGATAGTGGCTGTGCTTGAAACGCTGTGCCCGTGCGGTCGTGCGGGTTGCTGCCGTGTTGTGGTCCTTTGGTGCTTCCTCCTCCTTAGTCTCTCTCCCTCTCTCCTCTTCTCTTCCCACCTCCCTCTTTCTGTTCCCTTCTTCTATCCTTCCCTTCTCTTCCTACCACCCTCTTCTTTTCCCTACCACTTCTTCTTACTCTTTCATCCTTCCTTCCCTTCCTTTCTTTCCCCCTTGTCCTACAAACTATATATACCGTCCTCATAGCGATAAGGCTATGTCGAAATTTCCTAGTCTTGGAAAAACCATTATATTCGGCTTGTATTTGCTCTTCCCCTATTAATGAATAACTGCTCTCGCCCACCGGCGCTTAGCTTCGGAGTTCTGATGGGATCCGGCGTAGTAGCCGAGGTATGATCGTACCACGTCAACCTCGCGCCCCGACCGCTACACACCCCTTGCCCGGGTCCCCCCCTTCATAGTCACACCCCCTGCCCCCTCATGCCATCCGCTCCCCCCGCCCCTACCCTCCGCGTGCCCGCTCCCTTGCCGCCTCTTTTGACCCTCCCTGCCCCCCCTCGCCGTTTCCCACCGCCCGCCATTCGCTCCTCCCCGCCCGTGCGCTCCCCTCCTTTACCTTCTCCTCCCCCCTCCCCTCCTCTGCTGCACGCCTCTTCCTTCCCCTCGCCGACCCACTCCACTCCCTGCCCCTCCTCAATCCGCACCCTGCCCCTCGTATCTCGCCCCCCTATGCTTGGTTTCTCCCCTCCCTGCCCCTCGCCGCCTTTCCCCGCTCCCCACCTCCCCCCTCTCCCTGCCCCCCCCCACTCTCCCCCCCCCTTGTCCTTGGCTTCCTACCTCCCTGCCTCACCTTTCCCCCCTCCGTGTGCTCAGCTTCTCCCCTCCCTGCCCCTCCCTCCTCCCCGCCCTGCCCCTCATTTTCCGCCCCCCCCCCACGCCCGGTTTCTCCCCTCCCCGCGCCTCCCTTTCTTTCTCCGTGCCTCTCCTTTGCTCCCTCCCTGCCCCCGCCTGCCCATGCCCCTGTCCTTGGCTTCTCCCCTCCCTGCCCCACGTTTCTTCCCTCCCTGCCCCCCGTCTGCCCCTCCCTTGTTCTCCCCTCACCCATTGCTTCTCTCCTCCCTGCCCTTGATTTCCCACACCCCTGCCCTCGTTTCCTATCATCCATGCCCCTCGTTTCCCCCCTTTGTACGTTCAGCCTCTTCCCTCCCTGCCCCTCCCTTCCTCCCCCCCTGCCCTTTGCTCTCCCCTCGTTACGCTCCCTTCTCCCCATCCCTGCTGCCCTCTTACCACCATCAGCCCATCCCCACGACCAGCCCCCCTCCCACCCTTCAATCCCCCCCTCCCTCCTCTCTCTCTCTCTCTCTCTCTCTTCTTCTCACACACACACACACACGCACACTCCCCTCCCCCCATCACCCCCCCCACCTACATCCTCCCATTCTGCCCCTCCCTGCCCCTTTCCCACCCCCTCGCACGCCCCTCACCTCCCACCTCCGTGCAACTGGTTTCCCCCCTATGGTGCCACCCTTGCATCGCTCGCCCCTCTGCTCACCCTCTGCCCGCCCCTTTTCCGTGCCCTCAGTTGGCCCAGCCCCTGCCCGTTGCTGCCCCTCCCCTTGCCCCCTCAACTCCCCTGCCCCCCGTACACCCCAAGTCCCATCCAACCGCCCCCACCCTCCCCCGGCTGCCCGTTTCCGCTCTCCACCCCCGCGACCGTGTGCGGCTTCCAACCGCCCAACGGTGGTGCGCACGGGGCGTTTCTTCGCACGGGCAAGCCTCCCCGGGGGCCCCCCACCCCGCTGGGTCGTTGTTTGGGCAAAAAAAACGAAAATGAAAGAATCGGACGCGCTAAAATCGTCCTTTCTTTTTCCCGCTTGCCCCTCCCCCGGCACGTGCCGAGCAAGGGGCATAAATGGGTACAACACGAGGACTTCCCGGGAGGTCACCCAGCCCAGTACTGCTCTCGCCCACCGATAGTGGCTGTGCTTGAAACGCTGTGCCCGTGCGGTCGTGCGGGTTGCTGCCGTGTTGTGGTCCTTTGGTGCTTCCTCCTCCTTAGTCTCTCTCCCTCTCTCCTCTTCTCTTCCCACCTCCCTCTTTCTGTTCCCTTCTTCTATCCTTCCCTTCTCTTCCTACCACCCTCTTCTTTTCCCTACCACTTCTTCTTACTCTTTCATCCTTCCTTCCCTTCCTTTCTTTCCCCCTTGTCCTACAAACTATATATACCGTCCTCATAGCGATAAGGCTATGTCGAAATTTCCTAGTCTTGGAAAAACCATTATATTCGGCTTGTATTTGCTCTTCCCCTATTAATGAATAACTGCTCTCGCCCACCGGCGCTTAGCTTCGGAGTTCTGATGGGATCCGGCGTAGTAGCCGAGGTATGATCGTACCACGTCAACCTCGCGCCCCGACCGCTACACACCCCTTGCCCGGGTCCCCCCCTTCATAGTCACACCCCCTGCCCCCTCATGCCATCCGCTCCCCCCGCCCCTACCCTCCGCGTGCCCGCTCCCTTGCCGCCTCTTTTGACCCTCCCTGCCCCCCCTCGCCGTTTCCCACCGCCCGCCATTCGCTCCTCCCCGCCCGTGCGCTCCCCTCCTTTACCTTCTCCTCCCCCCTCCCCTCCTCTGCTGCACGCCTCTTCCTTCCCCTCGCCGACCCACTCCACTCCCTGCCCCTCCTCAATCCGCACCCTGCCCCTCGTATCTCGCCCCCCTATGCTTGGTTTCTCCCCTCCCTGCCCCTCGCCGCCTTTCCCCGCTCCCCACCTCCCCCCTCTCCCTGCCCCCCCCCACTCTCCCCCCCCTTGTCCTTGGCTTCCTACCTCCCTGCCTCACCTTTCCCCCCTCCGTGTGCTCAGCTTCTCCCCTCCCTGCCCCTCCCTCCTCCCCGCCCTGCCCCTCATTTTCCGCCCCCCCCCCCACGCCCGGTTTCTCCCCTCCCCGCGCCTCCCTTTCTTTCTCCGTGCCTCTCCTTTGCTCCCTCCCTGCCCCCGCCTGCCCATGCCCCTGTCCTTTGGCTTCTCCCCTCCCTGCCCCACGTTTCTTCCCTCCCTGCCCCCCGTCTGCCCCTCCCTTGTTCTCCCCTCACCCATTGCTTCTCTCCTCCCTGCCCTTGATTTCCCACACCCCTGCCCTCGTTTCCTATCATCCATGCCCCTCGTTTCCCCCCTTTGTACGTTCAGCCTCTTCCCTCCCTGCCCCTCCCTTCCTCCCCCCCTGCCCTTTGCTCTCCCCTCGTTACGCTCCCTTCTCCCCATCCCTGCTGCCCTCTTACCACCATCAGCCCATCCCCACGACCAGCCCCCCTCCCACCCTTCAATCCCCCCCTCCCTCTCTCTCTCTCTCTCTCTCTCTCTCTTTCTCTCACACACACACACACGCACACTCCCCTCCCCCACCCCCCCCACCTACATCCTCCCATTCTGCCCCTCCCTGCCCCTTTCCCACCCCCTCGCACGCCCCTCACCTCCCACCTCCGTGCAACTGGTTTCCCCCCTATGGTGCCACCCTTGCATCGCTCGCCCCTCTGCTCACCCTCTGCCCGCCCCTTTTCCGTGCCCTCAGTTGGCCCAGCCCCTGCCCGTTGCTGCCCCTCCCCTTGCCCCCTCAACTCCCCTGCCCCCCGTACACCCCAAGTCCCATCCAACCGCCCCCACCCTCCCCCGGCTGCCCGTTTCCGCTCTCCACCCCCGCGACCGTGTGCGGCTTCCAACCGCCCAACGGTGGTGCGCACGGGGCGTTTCTTCGCACGGGCAAGCCTCCCCGGGGGCCCCCCACCCCGCTGGGTCGTTGTTTGGGCAAAAAAAACGAAAATGAAAGAATCGGACGCGCTAAAATCGTCCTTTCTTTTTCCCGCTTGCCCCTCCCCCGGCACGTGCCGAGCAAGGGGCATAAATGGGTACAACACGAGGACTTCCCGGGAGGTCACCCAGCCCAGTACTGCTCTCGCCCACCGATAGTGGCTGTGCTTGAAACGCTGTGCCCGTGCGGTCGTGCGGGTTGCTGCCGTGTTGTGGTCCTTTGGTGCTTCCTCCTCCTTAGTCTCTCTCCCTCTCTCCTCTTCTCTTCCCACCTCCCTCTTTCTGTTCCCTTCTTCTATCCTTCCCTTCTCTTCCTACCACCCTCTTCTTTTCCCTACCACTTCTTCTTACTCTTTCATCCTTCCTTCCCTTCCTTTCTTTCCCCCTTGTCCTACAAACTATATATACCGTCCTCATAGCGATAAGGCTATGTCGAAATTTCCTAGTCTTGGAAAAACCATTATATTCGGCTTGTATTTGCTCTTCCCCTATTAATGAATAACTGCTCTCGCCCACCGGCGCTTAGCTTCGGAGTTCTGATGGGATCCGGCGTAGTAGCCGAGGTATGATCGTACCACGTCAACCTCGCGCCCCGACCGCTACACACCCCTTGCCCGGGTCCCCCCCTTCATAGTCACACCCCCTGCCCCCTCATGCCATCCGCTCCCCCCGCCCCTACCCTCCGCGTGCCCGCTCCCTTGCCGCCTCTTTTGACCCTCCCTGCCCCCCCTCGCCGTTTCCCACCGCCCGCCATTCGCTCCTCCCCGCCCGTGCGCTCCCCTCCTTTACCTTCTCCTCCCCCCTCCCCTCCTCTGCTGCACGCCTCTTCCTTCCCCTCGCCGACCCACTCCACTCCCTGCCCCTCCTCAATCCGCACCCTGCCCCTCGTATCTCGCCCCCCTATGCTTGGTTTCTCCCCTCCCTGCCCCTCGCCGCCTTTCCCCGCTCCCCACCTCCCCCCTCTCCCTGCCCCCCCCACTCTCCCCCCCCCTTGTCCTTGGCTTCCTACCTCCCTGCCTCACCTTTCCCCCCTCCGTGTGCTCAGCTTCTCCCCTCCCTGCCCCTCCCTCCTCCCCGCCCTGCCCCTCATTTTCCGCCCCCCCCCCCACGCCCGGTTTCTCCCCTCCCCGCGCCTCCCTTTCTTTCTCCGTGCCTCTCCTTTGCTCCCTCCCTGCCCCCGCCTGCCCATGCCCCTGTCTTTGGCTTCTCCCCTCCCTGCCCCACGTTTCTTCCCTCCCTGCCCCCCGTCTGCCCCTCCCTTGTTTCCCCTCACCCATTGCTTCTCTCCTCCCTGCCCTTGATTTCCCACACCCCTGCCCTCGTTTCCTATCATCCATGCCCCTCGTTTCCCCCCTTTGTACGTTCAGCCTCTTCCCTCCCTGCCCCTCCCTTCCTCCCCCCCTGCCCTTTGCTCTCCCCTCGTTACGCTCCCTTCTCCCCATCCCTGCTGCCCTCTTACCACCATCAGCCCATCCCCACGACCAGCCCCCCTCCCACCCTTCAATCCCCCCCTCCCTCTCTCTCTCTCTCTCTCTCTCTCTCTCTCTTTCTCACACACACACACACACGCACACTCCCCTCCCCCACCCCCCCCACCTACATCCTCCCATTCTGCCCCTCCCTGCCCCTTTCCCACCCCCTCGCACGCCCCTCACCTCCCACCTCCGTGCAACTGGTTTCCCCCCTATGGTGCCACCCTTGCATCGCTCGCCCCTCTGCTCACCCTCTGCCCGCCCCTTTTCCGTGCCCTCAGTTGGCCCAGCCCCTGCCCGTTGCTGCCCCTCCCCTTGCCCCCTCAACTCCCCTGCCCCCCGTACACCCCAAGTCCCATCCAACCGCCCCCACCCTCCCCCGGCTGCCCGTTTCCGCTCTCCACCCCCGCGACCGTGTGCGGCTTCCAACCGCCCAACGGTGGTGCGCACGGGGCGTTTCTTCGCATGGGCAAGCCTCCCCGGGGGCCCCCCACCCCGCTGGGTCGTTGTTTGGGCAAAAAAAACGAAAATGAAAGAATCGGACGCGCTAAAATCGTCCTTTCTTTTTCCCGCTTGCCCCTCCCCCGGCACGTGCCGAGCAAGGGGCATAAATGGGTACAACACGAGGACTTCCCGGGAGGTCACCCAGCCCAGTACTGCTCTCGCCCACCGATAGTGGCTGTGCTTGAAACGCTGTGCCCGTGCGGTCGTGCGGGTTGCTGCCGTGTTGTGGTCCTTTGGTGCTTCCTCCTCCTTAGTCTCTCTCCCTCTCTCCTCTTCTCTTCCCACCTCCCTCTTTCTGTTCCCTTCTTCTATCCTTCCCTTCTCTTCCTACCACCCTCTTCTTTTCCCTACCACTTCTTCTTACTCTTTCATCCTTCCTTCCCTTCCTTTCTTTCCCCCTTGTCCTACAAACTATATATACCGTCCTCATAGCGATAAGGCTATGTCGAAATTTCCTAGTCTTGGAAAAACCATTATATTCGGCTTGTATTTGCTCTTCCCCTATTAATGAATAACTGCTCTCGCCCACCGGCGCTTAGCTTCGGAGTTCTGATGGGATCCGGCGTAGTAGCCGAGGTATGATCGTACCACGTCAACCTCGCGCCCCGACCGCTACACACCCCTTGCCCGGGTCCCCCCCTTCATAGTCACACCCCCTGCCCCCTCATGCCATCCGCTCCCCCCGCCCCTACCCTCCGCGTGCCCGCTCCCTTGCCGCCTCTTTTGACCCTCCCTGCCCCCCCTCGCCGTTTCCCACCGCCCGCCATTCGCTCCTCCCCGCCCGTGCGCTCCCCTCCTTTACCTTCTCCTCCCCCCTCCCCTCCTCTGCTGCACGCCTCTTCCTTCCCCTCGCCGACCCACTCCACTCCCTGCCCCTCCTCAATCCGCACCCTGCCCCTCGTATCTCGCCCCCCTATGCTTGGTTTCTCCCCTCCCTGCCCCTCGCCGCCTTTCCCCGCTCCCCACCTCCCCCCTCTCCCTGCCCCCCCCACTCTCCCCCCCCTTGTCCTTGGCTTCCTACCTCCCTGCCTCACCTTTCCCCCCTCCGTGTGCTCAGCTTCTCCCCTCCCTGCCCCTCCCTCCTCCCCGCCCTGCCCCTCATTTTCCGCCCCCCCCCCCCACGCCCGGTTTCTCCCCTCCCCGCGCCTCCCTTTCTTTCTCCGTGCCTCTCCTTTGCTCCCTCCCTGCCCCCGCCTGCCCATGCCCCTGTCTTTGGCTTCTCCCCTCCCTGCCCCACGTTTCTTCCCTCCCTGCCCCCCGTCTGCCCCTCCCTTGTTTTCCCCTCACCCATTGCTTCTCTCCTCCCTGCCCTTGATTTCCCACACCCCTGCCCTCGTTTCCTATCATCCATGCCCCTCGTTTCCCCCCTTTGTACGTTCAGCCTCTTCCCTCCCTGCCCCTCCCTTCCTCCCCCCCTGCCCTTTGCTCTCCCCTCGTTACGCTCCCTTCTCCCCATCCCTGCTGCCCTCTTACCACCATCAGCCCATCCCCACGACCAGCCCCCCTCCCACCCTTCAATCCCCCCCTCCCTCTCTCTCTCTCTCTCTCTCTCTCTCTCTTTCTCACACACACACACACACGCACACTCCCCTCCCCCACCCCCCCCACCTACATCCTCCCATTCTGCCCCTCCCTGCCCCTTTCCCACCCCCTCGCACGCCCCTCACCTCCCACCTCCGTGCAACTGGTTTCCCCCCTATGGTGCCACCCTTGCATCGCTCGCCCCTCTGCTCACCCTCTGCCCGCCCCTTTTCCGTGCCCTCAGTTGGCCCAGCCCCTGCCCGTTGCTGCCCCTCCCCTTGCCCCCTCAACTCCCCTGCCCCCCGTACACCCCAAGTCCCATCCAACCGCCCCCACCCTCCCCCGGCTGCCCGTTTCCGCTCTCCACCCCCGCGACCGTGTGCGGCTTCCAACCGCCCAACGGTGGTGCGCACGGGGCGTTTCTTCGCACGGGCAAGCCTCCCCGGGGGCCCCCCACCCCGCTGGGTCGTTGTTTGGGCAAAAAAAACGAAAATGAAAGAATCGGACGCGCTAAAATCGTCCTTTCTTTTTCCCGCTTGCCCCTCCCCCGGCACGTGCCGAGCAAGGGGCATAAATGGGTACAACACGAGGACTTCCCGGGAGGTCACCCAGCCCAGTACTGCTCTCGCCCACCGATAGTGGCTGTGCTTGAAACGCTGTGCCCGTGCGGTCGTGCGGGTTGCTGCCGTGTTGTGGTCCTTTGGTGCTTCCTCCTCCTTAGTCTCTCTCCCTCTCTCCTCTTCTCTTCCCACCTCCCTCTTTCTGTTCCCTTCTTCTATCCTTCCCTTCTCTTCCTACCACCCTCTTCTTTTCCCTACCACTTCTTCTTACTCTTTCATCCTTCCTTCCTTCCTTTCTTTCCCCCTTGTCCTACAAACTATATATACCGTCCTCATAGCGATAAGGCTATGTCGAAATTTCCTAGTCTTGGAAAAACCATTATATTCGGCTTGTATTTGCTCTTCCCCTATTAATGAATAACTGCTCTCGCCCACCGGCGCTTAGCTTCGGAGTTCTGATGGGATCCGGCGTAGTAGCCGAGGTATGATCGTACCACGTCAACCTCGCGCCCCGACCGCTACACACCCCTTGCCCGGGTCCCCCCCTTCATAGTCACACCCCCTGCCCCCTCATGCCATCCGCTCCCCCCGCCCCTACCCTCCGCGTGCCCGCTCCCTTGCCGCCTCTTTTGACCCTCCCTGCCCCCCCTCGCCGTTTCCCACCGCCCGCCATTCGCTCCTCCCCGCCCGTGCGCTCCCCTCCTTTACCTTCTCCTCCCCCCTCCCCTCCTCTGCTGCACGCCTCTTCCTTCCCCTCGCCGACCCACTCCACTCCCTGCCCCTCCTCAATCCGCACCCTGCCCCTCGTATCTCGCCCCCCTATGCTTGGTTTCTCCCCTCCCTGCCCCTCGCCGCCTTTCCCCGCTCCCCACCTCCCCCCTCTCCCTGCCCCCCCCACTCTCCCCCCCCCTTGTCCTTGGCTTCCTACCTCCCTGCCTCACCTTTCCCCCCTCCGTGTGCTCAGCTTCTCCCCTCCCTGCCCCTCCCTCCTCCCCGCCCTGCCCCTCATTTTCCGCCCCCCCCCCCCACGCCCGGTTTCTCCCCTCCCCGCGCCTCCCTTTCTTTCTCCGTGCCTCTCCTTTGCTCCCTCCCTGCCCCCGCCTGCCCATGCCCCTGTCTTTGGCTTCTCCCCTCCCTGCCCCACGTTTCTTCCCTCCCTGCCCCCCGTCTGCCCCTCCCTTGTTTTCCCCTCACCCATTGCTTCTCTCCTCCCTGCCCTTGATTTCCCACACCCCTGCCCTCGTTTCCTATCATCCATGCCCCTCGTTTCCCCCCTTTGTACGTTCAGCCTCTTCCCTCCCTGCCCCTCCCTTCCTCCCCCCCTGCCCTTTGCTCTCCCCTCGTTACGCTCCCTTCTCCCCATCCCTGCTGCCCTCTTACCACCATCAGCCCATCCCCACGACCAGCCCCCCTCCCACCCTTCAATCCCCCCCTCCCTCTCTCTCTCTCTCTCTCTCTCTCTCTCTCTTTCTCACACACACACACACACGCACACTCCCCTCCCCCACCCCCCCCCACCTACATCCTCCCATTCTGCCCCTCCCTGCCCCTTTCCCACCCCCTCGCACGCCCCTCACCTCCCACCTCCGTGCAACTGGTTTCCCCCCTATGGTGCCACCCTTGCATCGCTCGCCCCTCTGCTCACCCTCTGCCCGCCCCTTTTCCGTGCCCTCAGTTGGCCCAGCCCCTGCCCGTTGCTGCCCCTCCCCTTGCCCCCTCAACTCCCCTGCCCCCCGTACACCCCAAGTCCCATCCAACCGCCCCCACCCTCCCCCGGCTGCCCGTTTCCGCTCTCCACCCCCGCGACCGTGTGCGGCTTCCAACCGCCCAACGGTGGTGCGCACGGGGCGTTTCTTCGCACGGGCAAGCCTCCCCGGGGGCCCCCCACCCCGCTGGGTCGTTGTTTGGGCAAAAAAAACGAAAATGAAAGAATCGGACGCGCTAAAATCGTCCTTTCTTTTTCCCGCTTGCCCCTCCCCCGGCACGTGCCGAGCAAGGGGCATAAATGGGTACAACACGAGGACTTCCCGGGAGGTCACCCAGCCCAGTACTGCTCTCGCCCACCGATAGTGGCTGTGCTTGAAACGCTGTGCCCGTGCGGTCGTGCGGGTTGCTGCCGTGTTGTGGTCCTTTGGTGCTTCCTCCTCCTTAGTCTCTCTCCCTCTCTCCTCTTCTCTTCCCACCTCCCTCTTTCTGTTCCCTTCTTCTATCCTTCCCTTCTCTTCCTACCACCCTCTTCTTTTCCCTACCACTTCTTCTTACTCTTTCATCCTTCCTTCCTTCCTTTCTTTCCCCCTTGTCCTACAAACTATATATACCGTCCTCATAGCGATAAGGCTATGTCGAAATTTCCTAGTCTTGGAAAAACCATTATATTCGGCTTGTATTTGCTCTTCCCCTATTAATGAATAACTGCTCTCGCCCACCGGCGCTTAGCTTCGGAGTTCTGATGGGATCCGGCGTAGTAGCCGAGGTATGATCGTACCACGTCAACCTCGCGCCCCGACCGCTACACACCCCTTGCCCGGGTCCCCCCCTTCATAGTCACACCCCCTGCCCCCTCATGCCATCCGCTCCCCCCGCCCCTACCCTCCGCGTGCCCGCTCCCTTGCCGCCTCTTTTGACCCTCCCTGCCCCCCCTCGCCGTTTCCCACCGCCCGCCATTCGCTCCTCCCCGCCCGTGCGCTCCCCTCCTTTACCTTCTCCTCCCCCCTCCCCTCCTCTGCTGCACGCCTCTTCCTTCCCCTCGCCGACCCACTCCACTCCCTGCCCCTCCTCAATCCGCACCCTGCCCCTCGTATCTCGCCCCCCTATGCTTGGTTTCTCCCCTCCCTGCCCCTCGCCGCCTTTCCCCGCTCCCCACCTCCCCCCTCTCCCTGCCCCCCCCACTCTCCCCCCCCCTTGTCCTTGGCTTCCTACCTCCCTGCCTCACCTTTCCCCCCTCCGTGTGCTCAGCTTCTCCCCTCCCTGCCCCTCCCTCCTCCCCGCCCTGCCCCTCATTTTCCGCCCCCCCCCCCCACGCCCGGTTTCTCCCCTCCCCGCGCCTCCCTTTCTTTCTCCGTGCCTCTCCTTTGCTCCCTCCCTGCCCCCGCCTGCCCATGCCCCTGTCTTTGGCTTCTCCCCTCCCTGCCCCACGTTTCTTCCCTCCCTGCCCCCCGTCTGCCCCTCCCTTGTTTCCCCTCACCCATTGCTTCTCTCCTCCCTGCCCTTGATTTCCCACACCCCTGCCCTCGTTTCCTATCATCCATGCCCCTCGTTTCCCCCCTTTGTACGTTCAGCCTCTTCCCTCCCTGCCCCTCCCTTCCTCCCCCCCTGCCCTTTGCTCTCCCCTCGTTACGCTCCCTTCTCCCCATCCCTGCTGCCCTCTTACCACCATCAGCCCATCCCCACGACCAGCCCCCCTCCCACCCTTCAATCCCCCCCTCCCTCTCTCTCTCTCTCTCTCTCTCTCTCTCTTCTTCTCACACACACACACACACGCACACTCCCCTCCCCCACCCCCCCCCACCTACATCCTCCCATTCTGCCCCTCCCTGCCCCTTTCCCACCCCCTCGCACGCCCCTCACCTCCCACCTCCGTGCAACTGGTTTCCCCCCTATGGTGCCACCCTTGCATCGCTCGCCCCTCTGCTCACCCTCTGCCCGCCCCTTTTCCGTGCCCTCAGTTGGCCCAGCCCCTGCCCGTTGCTGCCCCTCCCCTTGCCCCCTCAACTCCCCTGCCCCCCGTACACCCCAAGTCCCATCCAACCGCCCCCACCCTCCCCCGGCTGCCCGTTTCCGCTCTCCACCCCCGCGACCGTGTGCGGCTTCCAACCGCCCAACGGTGGTGCGCACGGGGCGTTTCTTCGCATGGGCAAGCCTCCCCGGGGGCCCCCCACCCCGCTGGGTCGTTGTTTGGGCAAAAAAAACGAAAAGAAAAGAATCGGACGCGCTAAAATCGTCCTTTCTTTTTCCCGCTTGCCCCTCCCCCGGCACGTGCCGAGCAAGGGGCATAAATGGGTACAACACGAGGACTTCCCGGGAGGTCACCCAGCCCAGTACTGCTCTCGCCCACCGGCGCTTAGCTTCGGAGTTCTGATGGGATCCGGCGTAGTAGCCGAGGTATGATCGTACCACGTCAACCTCGTGCCCCGACCGCTACACACCCCTTGCCCGGGTCCCCCCCTTCATAGTCACACCCCCTGCCCCCTCATGCCATCCGCTCCCCCCGCCCCTACCCTCCGCGTGCCCGCTCCCTTGCCGCCTCTTTTGACCCTCCCTGCCCCCCCTCGCCGTTTCCCACCGCCCGCCATTCGCTCCTCCCCGCCCGTGCGCTCCCCTCCTTTACCTTCTCCTCCCCCCTCCCCTCCTCTGCTGCACGCCTCTTCCTTCCCCTCGCCGACCCACTCCACTCCCTGCCCCTCCTCAATCCGCACCCTGCCCCTCGTATCTCGCCCCCCTATGCTTGGTTTCTCCCCTCCCTGCCCCTCGCCGCCTTTCCCCGCTCCCCACCTCCCCCCTCTCCCTGCCCCCCCCACTCTCCCCCCCCCTTGTCCTTGGCTTCCTACCTCCCTGCCTCACCTTTCCCCCCTCCGTGTGCTCAGCTTCTCCCCTCCCTGCCCCTCCCTCCTCCCCGCCCTGCCCCTCATTTTCCGCCCCCCCCCCCCACGCCCGGTTTCTCCCCTCCCCGCGCCTCCCTTTCTTTCTCCGTGCCTCTCCTTTGCTCCCTCCCTGCCCCCGCCTGCCCATGCCCCTGTCTTTGGCTTCTCCCCTCCCTGCCCCACGTTTCTTCCCTCCCTGCCCCCCGTCTGCCCCTCCCTTGTTTTCCCCTCACCCATTGCTTCTCTCCTCCCTGCCCTTGATTTCCCACACCCCTGCCCTCGTTTCCTATCATCCATGCCCCTCGTTTCCCCCCTTTGTACGTTCAGCCTCTTCCCTCCCTGCCCCTCCCTTCCTCCCCCCCTGCCCTTTGCTCTCCCCTCGTTACGCTCCCTTCTCCCCATCCCTGCTGCCCTCTTACCACCATCAGCCCATCCCCACGACCAGCCCCCCTCCCACCCTTCAATCCCCCCCTCCCTCTCTCTCTCTCTCTCTCTCTCTCTCTTTCTCACACACACACACACACGCACACTCCCCTCCCCCACCCCCCCCCACCTACATCCTCCCATTCTGCCCCTCCCTGCCCCTTTCCCACCCCCTCGCACGCCCCTCACCTCCCACCTCCGTGCAACTGGTTTCCCCCCTATGGTGCCACCCTTGCATCGCTCGCCCCTCTGCTCACCCTCTGCCCGCCCCTTTTCCGTGCCCTCAGTTGGCCCAGCCCCTGCCCGTTGCTGCCCCTCCCCTTGCCCCCTCAACTCCCCTGCCCCCCGTACACCCCAAGTCCCATCCAACCGCCCCCACCCTCCCCCGGCTGCCCGTTTCCGCTCTCCACCCCCGCGACCGTGTGCGGCTTCCAACCGCCCAACGGTGGTGCGCACGGGGCGTTTCTTCGCATGGGCAAGCCTCCCCGGGGGCCCCCCACCCCGCTGGGTCGTTGTTTGGGCAAAAAAAACGAAAAGAAAAGAATCGGACGCGCTAAAATCGTCCTTTCTTTTTCCCGCTTGCCCCTCCCCCGGCACGTGCCGAGCAAGGGGCATAAATGGGTACAACACGAGGACTTCCCGGGAGGTCACCCAGCCCAGTACTGCTCTCGCCCACCGGCGCTTAGCTTCGGAGTTCTGATGGGATCCGGCGTAGTAGCTGAGGTATGATCGTACCACGTCAACCTCGTGCCCCGACCGCTACACACCCCTTGCCCGGGTCCCCCCCTTCATAGTCACACCCCCTGCCCCCTCATGCCATCCGCTCCCCCCGCCCCTACCCTCCGCGTGCCCGCTCCCTTGCCGCCTCTTTTGACCCTCCCTGCCCCCCCTCGCCGTTTCCCACCGCCCGCCATTCGCTCCTCCCCGCCCGTGCGCTCCCCTCCTTTACCTTCTCCTCCCCCCTCCCCTCCTCTGCTGCACGCCTCTTCCTTCCCCTCGCCGACCCACTCCACTCCCTGCCCCTCCTCAATCCGCACCCTGCCCCTCGTATCTCGCCCCCCTATGCTTGGTTTCTCCCCTCCCTGCCCCTCGCCGCCTTTCCCCGCTCCCCACCTCCCCCCTCTCCCTGCCCCCCCCCACTCTCCCCCCCCCTTGTCCTTGGCTTCCTACCTCCCTGCCTCACCTTTCCCCCCTCCGTGTGCTCAGCTTCTCCCCTCCCTGCCCCTCCCTCCTCCCCGCCCTGCCCCTCATTTTCCGCCCCCCCCCCCCCACGCCCGGTTTCTCCCCTCCCCGCGCCTCCCTTTCTTTCTCCGTGCCTCTCCTTTGCTCCCTCCCTGCCCCCGCCTGCCCATGCCCCTGTCTTTGGCTTCTCCCCTCCCTGCCCCACGTTTCTTCCCTCCCTGCCCCCCGTCTGCCCCTCCCTTGTTTTCCCCTCACCCATTGCTTCTCTCCTCCCTGCCCTTGATTTCCCACACCCCTGCCCTCGTTTCCTATCATCCATGCCCCTCGTTTCCCCCCTTTGTACGTTCAGCCTCTTCCCTCCCTGCCCCTCCCTTCCTCCCCCCCTGCCCTTTGCTCTCCCCTCGTTACGCTCCCTTCTCCCCATCCCTGCTGCCCTCTTACCACCATCAGCCCATCCCCACGACCAGCCCCCCTCCCACCCTTCAATCCCCCCCTCCCTCTCTCTCTCTCTCTCTCTCTCTCTCTCTCTCTTTCTCACACACACACACACACGCACACTCCCCTCCCCCACCCCCCCCACCTACATCCTCCCATTCTGCCCCTCCCTGCCCCTTTCCCACCCCCTCGCACGCCCCTCACCTCCCACCTCCGTGCAACTGGTTTCCCCCCTATGGTGCCACCCTTGCATCGCTCGCCCCTCTGCTCACCCTCTGCCCGCCCCTTTTCCGTGCCCTCAGTTGGCCCAGCCCCTGCCCGTTGCTGCCCCTCCCCTTGCCCCCTCAACTCCCCTGCCCCCCGTACACCCCAAGTCCCATCCAACCGCCCCCACCCTCCCCCGGCTGCCCGTTTCCGCTCTCCACCCCCGCGACCGTGTGCGGCTTCCAACCGCCCAACGGTGGTGCGCACGGGGCGTTTCTTCGCACTGGGCAAGCCTCCCCGGGGGCCCCCCACCCCGCTGGGTCGTTGTTTGGGCAAAAAAAACGAAAAGAAAAGAATCGGACGCGCTAAAATCGTCCTTTCTTTTTCCCGCTTGCCCCTCCCCCGGCACGTGCCGAGCAAGGGGCATAAATGGGTACAACACGAGGACTTCCCGGGAGGTCACCCAGCCCAGTACTGCTCTCGCCCACCGATAGTGGCTGTGCTTGAAACGCTGTGCCCGTGCGGTCGTGCGGGTTGCTGCCGTGTTTGGTCCTTTGGTGCTTCCTCCTCCTTAGTCTCTCTCCCTCTCTCCTCTTTCTCTTCCCACCTCCCTCTTTCTGTTCCCTTCTTCTATCCTTCCCTTCTCTTCCTACCAGCCCTCTTCTTTTCCCTACCACTTCTTCTTACTCCTTCATCCTTCCTTCCTTTCCTTTCTTTCCCCCTTTTCCTACAAAATATATATACCGTCCTCATAGCGATTAGGCTATGTCGAAATTTCCTAGTCTTGGAAAAACCATTATATTCGGCTTGTATTTGCTCTTCCCCTATTAATGAATAACTGCTCTCGCCCACCGGCGCTTAGCTTCGGAGTTCTGATGGGATCCGGCGTAGTAGCCGAGGTATGATCGTACCACGTCAACCTCGTGCCCCGACCGCTACACACCCCTTGCCCGGGTCCCCCCCTTCATAGTCACACCCCCTGCCCCCTCATGCCATCCGCTCCCCCCGCCCCTACCCTCCGCGTGCCCGCTCCCTTGCCGCCTCTTTTGACCCTCCCTGCCCCCCCTCGCCGTTTCCCACCGCCCGCCATTCGCTCCTCCCCGCCCGTGCGCTCCCCTCCTTTACCTTCTCCTCCCCCCTCCCCTCCTCTGCTGCACGCCTCTTCCTTCCCCTCGCCGACCCACTCCACTCCCTGCCCCTCCTCAATCCGCACCCTGCCCCTCGTATCTCGCCCCCCTATGCTTGGTTTCTCCCCTCCCTGCCCCTCGCCGCCTTTCCCCGCTCCCCACCTCCCCCCTCTCCCTGCCCCCCCCACTCTCCCCCCCCCTTGTCCTTGGCTTCCTACCTCCCTGCCTCACCTTTCCCCCCTCCGTGTGCTCAGCTTCTCCCCTCCCTGCCCCTCCCTCCTCCCCGCCCTGCCCCTCATTTTCCGCCCCCCCCCCCCCACGCCCGGTTTCTCCCCTCCCCGCGCCTCCCTTTCTTTCTCCGTGCCTCTCCTTTGCTCCCTCCCTGCCCCCGCCTGCCCATGCCCCTGTCTTTGGCTTCTCCCCTCCCTGCCCCACGTTTCTTCCCTCCCTGCCCCCCGTCTGCCCCTCCCTTGTTTTCCCCTCACCCATTGCTTCTCTCCTCCCTGCCCTTGATTTCCCACACCCCTGCCCTCGTTTCCTATCATCCATGCCCCTCGTTTCCCCCCTTTGTACGTTCAGCCTCTTCCCTCCCTGCCCCTCCCTTCCTCCCCCCCTGCCCTTTGCTCTCCCCTCGTTACGCTCCCTTCTCCCCATCCCTGCTGCCCTCTTACCACCATCAGCCCATCCCCACGACCAGCCCCCCTCCCACCCTTCAATCCCCCCCTCCCTCTCTCTCTCTCTCTCTCTCTCTCTCTTTCTCACACGCACACACACACGCACACTCCCCTCCCCCACCCCCCCCCACCTACATCCTCCCATTCTGCCCCTCCCTGCCCCTTTCCCACCCCCTCGCACGCCCCTCACCTCCCACCTCCGTGCAACTGGTTTCCCCCCTATGGTGCCACCCTTGCATCGCTCGCCCCTCTGCTCACCCTCTGCCCGCCCCTTTTCCGTGCCCTCAGTTGGCCCAGCCCCTGCCCGTTGCTGCCCCTCCCCTTGCCCCCTCAACTCCCCTGCCCCCCGTACACCCCAAGTCCCATCCAACCGCCCCCACCCTCCCCCGGCTGCCCGTTTCCGCTCTCCACCCCCGCGACCGTGTGCGGCTTCCAACCGCCCAACGGTGGTGCGCACGGGGCGTTTCTTCGCACGGGCAAGCCTCCCCGGGGGCCCCCCACCCCGCTGGGTCGTTGTTTGGGCAAAAAAAAACGAAAATGAAAAGAATCGGACGCGCTAAAATCGTCCTTTCTTTTTCCCGCTTGCCCCTCCCCCCGGCACGTGCCGAGCAAGGGGCATAAATGGGTACAACACGAGGACTTCCCGGGAGGTCACCCAGCCCAGTACTGCTCTCGCCCACCGATAGTGGCTGTGCTTGAAACGCTGTGCCCGTGCGGTCGTGCGGGTTGCTGCCGTGTTGTGGTCCTTTGGTGCTTCCTCCTCCTTAGTCTCTCTCCCTCTCTCCTCTTCTCTTCCCACCTCCCTCTTTCTGTTCCCTTCTTCTATCCTTCCCTTCTCTTCCTACCGACCCTCTTCTTTTCCCTACCACTTCTTCTTACTCCTTCATCCTTCCTTCCTTTCCTTTCTTTCCCCCTTGTCCTACAAAATATATATACCGTCCTCATAGCGATAAGGCTATGTCGAAATTTCCTAGTCTTGGAAAAAACCATTATATTCGGCTTGTATTTGCTCTTCCCCTATTAATGAATAACTGCTCTCGCCCACCGGCGCTTAGCTTCGGAGTTCTGATGGGATCCGGCGTAGTAGCCGAGGTATGATCGTACCACGTCAACCTCGCGCCCCGACCGCTACACACCCCTTGCCCGGGTCCCCCCCTTCATAGTCACACCCCCTGCCCCCTCATGCCATCCGCTCCACCCCGCCCCTACCCTCCGCGTGCCCGCTCCCTTGCCGCCTCTTTTGACCCTCCCTGCCCCCCCTCGCCGTTTCCCACCGCCCGCCATTCGCTCCTCCCCGCCCGTGCGCTCCCCTCCTTTACCTTCTCCTCCCCCCTCCCCTCCTCTGCTGCACGCCTCTTCCTTCCCCTCGCCGACCCACTCCACTCCCTGCCCCTCCTCAATCCGCACCCTGCCCCTCGTATCTCGCCCCCCTATGCTTGGTTTCTCCCCTCCCTGCCCCTCGCCGCCTTTCCCCGCTCCCCACCTCCCCCCTCTCCCTGCCCCCCCCACTCTCCCCCCCCCTTGTCCTTGGCTTCCTACCTCCCTGCCTCACCTTTCCCCCCTCCGTGTGCTCAGCTTCTCCCCTCCCTGCCCCTCCCTCCTCCCCGCCCTGCCCCTCATTTTCCGCCCCCCCCCCCCCACGCCCGGTTTCTCCCCTCCCCGCGCCTCCCTTTCTTTCTCCGTGCCTCTCCTTTGCTCCCTCCCTGCCCCCGCCTGCCCATGCCCCTGTCTTTGGCTTCTCCCCTCCCTGCCCCACGTTTCTTCCCTCCCTGCCCCCCGTCTGCCCCTCCCTTGTTTTCCCCTCACCCATTGCTTCTCTCCTCCCTGCCCTTGATTTCCCACACCCTGCCCTCGTTTCCTATCATCCATGCCCCTCGTTTCCCCCCTTTGTACGTTCAGCCTCTTCCCTCCCTGCCCCTCCCTTCCTCCCCCCCTGCCCTTTGCTCTCCCCTCGTTACGCTCCCTTCTCCCCATCCCTGCTGCCCTCTTACCACCATCAGCCCATCCCCACGACCAGCCCCCCTCCCACCCTTCAATCCCCCCCTCCCTCTCTCTCTCTCTCTCTCTCTCTCTCTCTCTCTTTCTCACACACACACACACGCACACTCCCCTCCCCCACCCCCCCCCACCTACATCCTCCCATTCTGCCCCTCCCTGCCCCTTTCCCACCCCCCTCGCACGCCCCTCACCTCCCACCTCCGTGCAACTGGTTTCCCCCCTATGGTGCCACCCTTGCATCGCTCGCCCCTCTGCTCACCCTCTGCCCGCCCCTTTTCCGTGCCCTCAGTTGGCCCAGCCCCTGCCCGTTGCTGCCCCTCCCCTTGCCCCCTCAACTCCCCTGCCCCCCGTACACCCCAAGTCCCATCCAACCGCCCCCACCCTCCCCCGGCTGCCCGTTTCCGCTCTCCACCCCCGCGACCGTGTGCGGCTTCCAACCGCCCAACGGTGGTGCGCACGGGGCGTTTCTTCGCATGGGCAAGCCTCCCCGGGGGCCCCCCACCCCGCTGGGTCGTTGTTTGGGCAAAAAAAAAACGAAAAGGAAAGAATCGGACGCGCTAAAATCGTCCTTTCTTTTCCCGCTTGCCCCTCCCCCGGCACGTGCCGAGCAAGGGGCATAAATGGGTACAACACGAGGACTTCCCGGGAGGTCACCCAGCCCAGTACTGCTCTCGGCCCACCGGCGCTCTTACCTTGACCTAGCTTACCTAGCCATGGCTGCCTACTAAGGAGCCTCCTAACCTACTATTTCGAGTTGCTTAAGGAAAAGTGATGTGATAGTTGTTTATGTTATTAGTTATAAGCGTTTCCAACGGTTAGTTTTTTAGTTTCGACTGTCGAGTTCGACGGGACGGGGGTCGCGAGTTTCGCGCAGCGCGACCCTCAGGAGTCTCGGGAACGGAACTCGCGGGGTGTTACGGAACCGTTTGTTCGACCCCGCCATCGCGGGATCGCTGCGGACAGCGCTGCAGCCGGTGTAACGGGAGGTGGGGCGCTGACGCGAAGTTCGCACCGCGGAGTGTAACAGCGCGCGCGACTCACAACCACAACTCCGCCAGACACGGTGTTCCCCGGCCCATCCCCTCTCTCGACACTCTCCCTTATCCCCCCGCTCTTTTCTGCTCACGGCTTTTCTATTCGAAGCGATTAGCTGCTACCGAGTTTTTTCCCGCGGTTTCCCTCTCTCGAAGTCACTGAGCTTAGCTTCCGCCCGTAGTTAGCACTCTTCCTTCCCTTTCGGTGCGCCCTTCTTTATCGTAACCCTAATTCGAAGAGCCGCGCGTTTCCCAAGCACGCTTTCTCGTCGCCTATCATGTTTAGTCATGCACTCGTTTTCCCCGCCTGTTCAATCTAGCCGCGACGTAGACGGAACCGCGCACGGGGCGCTTACCGCCAGGGAAAGGCAGCGCGGAGGGAGGCGAAATTGCTACGTTCGTAGCGATTAAGCAGCCCTCCCCTTGCGCGCCTCCCGAAGCGCGTTTTCTGCCTAGAGCGTTTTAGCCGCCCACGTTTGGCACACAAGCCGCCCCACTCCCCTTTTGCTCACTCCCACCCTGCCGTGCCTCGTCGCGCACTCGTGCATGCCACCCACACGTCGTAATTTTACCCCGTCGCCACCCACATAGTCACCTCCCTGCTCACACCGCCCCTTTCCCCCTCACACGCGCGCTTTAGCCACCCCGCCACCTAACCTCTTTCCCTAACGGCGCTTAGCTAGCAGAGGCCGCCCTGTTTCTGGAAACCGTAGGAAATAAGAGGAAACAACTTCAAGGAAAAAAAGAAAAGAAAAAGAAATTCATATAAATCCGAAAAAACCAGGAAAAATCAGAAAGGCAGCTTACACCTTGTTCTCCCAACCCTCCAGGGCCCCACCCAGTCCGCCACCCCCCCATTCTGTTTCATCATACTACACCACACCCTCCCCTTTTGCCCACCAGCATTACCGCCCCTCTCCCCTTATCCCCCACCACGCCCCCAAGCAGGCCTTTCTCCCCCCAGCCTCCCGTCTCCCTGCCCTTAGTACCGCCGCGCTCTGCCCGTGCGTCACCCTTGCCCACTTCATACCACCTCCCCCTTCTCCCCCCCCCCCCGGCTTCTCCCTATCATCACCCGCATGTTCCCCCACTCCCCTGTCCACAACGTCCCTCCACCCCCCTTCCTGCTTTCCCCACTCCCACTCTGCCCCCCACACCTCTACGAGCCGTACTTCCCCCTCCAGCCTCCCTTTCCCCCCCAGCTACTTCCGCATCCAGCGTGGGCTGCACCTCTGCATCCCGCCCTGCCAGGCCCTTCGGTGACCCAACTGCCGCCACCTGGCACCACGCCGCCTTTCCCACCCCCATCCAATCTCTACACCCCCTGCCCCTGCTCCCTGCGCAATCCAGCCACCTACCCCAGCCTCCCTCTACCTCTCCCTAACTCCACACCGCCGTTCCTACCCCCAGCCAAGGTCTACACCCCTTGCTTTTGCTCCCTGGGCTGTGCCGTCCCCAACCTCCCTCCGCCTTTCCGCGGCACCAGACCGCCTCTCCCTCCCCCAGCCAACTTTTGCACCCCCTGTTCCTGCCCCTTGTGCCCTCCAACACCCTACCTCAACCCCCCCAGTCTCCCCCTTCTCCAACACCCTCCATATTTCCTCCCCCCTGGGGCTCGCCCATCCGCAGCTATCACCCTTCATCGATTCCCCAATTCCCTCTGTCCCCTGTTTCCCGGCCCCGCATCCTATCCTGCATTTACCACAGCACCTCCTTTCGGTGCCCTCTCTGCCCTCCCACGTTCTCACCCCCCGCCTCCCAACCTTCTCATTACCCGCTACCAGGCTCACGCCAACTCGACTACCCACTACCCTTTGCCCCTTCCTCTCTGTTCCCCACCCTTCCTTTCCCACCTGGCTCCACCTGCCCACCCCCACCTCCCGTGGAATTCTGCCCTGCCCTCCCCACCTCTGGCCCACCACCTGTCCCCACACCCTGCTCACCCACCGCTACACCACCCCCGCCCCCCCACCTCCACTACAGCCCGCCAACACTTCCCCTCTCAATCGGCCCCCAGCCCGCCCCCCCCCTTGGGCCCCAATCCCCTCCAACTGTCAGGGCCCCCTCTACCCTCTCTTCCACCCACTGCGCACCGCTTTCCCCACCCTTTTCCCCTTTCCCCAAGCTAACCCCCCGCACCCCGGCCTCTGCCAGGGAGTTCCTTCCCCCTTTGACGCCCTCTTGAGCCAACCCCAGCAACTCACCACCGCCACCGCCAGGCATGCTGCCTCTGTAACAATGCCCCAGCACCCCGCGAGTGGGGGAAAGGCAGGCCCGGGAGCCCCTCGGCGATCTGGGAGGTCCCGCAGCCGAGCCACCCCCTACTCTCCCACTCCCCCCACTTCAACAGTCAGGAAGAAACAACACACACCTGACCAAGCGAAAACACTCACACAATCTGACCCTAGGGGCCAGAAGCGTACCTTTGAAGAGGATGGAACAGAGGAACGCCAAGCCCCACTGGAGGAAATACACGAGGAGGAGCCAGCACGCTCAAAACCGCGCCCTACCCCCGCTGCCCCATCCCAGTCTACCCCCCCTTCAGGTGACAGCGGGGGCGGCACCCATGCATGCTCAGTAGAGAGATCCTCCAACTCACTCGCTACCTCCCATTCGCAAACCAGATTACTTGTGAAAACACTTAATCCTACCCGCACCCCCAAGCACATAGAAGCGGGAGAGGGCAGAGCCAGGGGGGAACTTGCAGCTGACACTGCACGGGAAGGGGTAAGTGAGTTTGTGTGTGAAGGAGCAGCAGAGGCTACAGAGGATGGGGCAGCAAAGGCTGCACGGGAAGGGGCAATGGGGGTTGTGGGGGAAGGGGCAGCAGAGGCTGCAGAGGAAAGGGCAGCAGAGGCTGCAAGGGAAGGGGCAGCAGCGGCTGCACGGGAAAGGGCGGCAGGGGCTGCACGGGAAGGGGCGGCAGGGACCGTGACTCTGGCCAGGCAAAGGGCAGAGGCCATGGAGACAGGTTTTGCAGGAGTAGGGGCCACGGAACCTGCTGCTGTGTCGGCTGGGGGAACCGCAGCAGAGGAGGCTATAGGGACCGCACCAGGTGAGGCCGCACAGACCACAGCAGGTGTGGCTGCAGGGATCACAACGGGTGAGGCTGCAGGAGGGACCATGGCAGGTGAGGCCGCAGGGAGCGCAGTAGGTGAGGCTGCGGGGAGCGCAGCAGGTGAGGCTGTAGGGGGCGCAGCAGGTGAGGCTGCAGAGAGCGCAGCAGGTGAGGCCGCAGGGAGCGCAGCAAGCGAGGCTGCAGGGAGCGCAGCAGGCGAGGCTGCAGGGAGCGCAGCAGGCGGGACTGCAGGGGCCACAGCAGGTGAGGCTGCGGCGGACGCAGCAGGTGAGGCTGCGAGGGCTGCATCATGTAAGGTTGGGCAGACTCTAGCAGGTGAGGCTGCACAGTCTACAGCTGGTGAGGTCGCATGGACTGCAACAGGTGAGGCCGCAGGGACTGCAGCAGGTGAGGCGGCAGGGACCACAGCGGATGAGGCTGCAGGCGGGACCATGGCAGGTGAGGCCGCAGGGAGCGCAGCAGGTGAGGCTGAAATAGCCGCAGCAGGTGAGGCTGCAGAGGCCGCAGCATGTGAGGTTGAGCAGATTCTAGCAGGTGAGGCTGCACAGACTGCAGCAGGTGAGGCCGCAGGGACTGCAGCGGGTGAGGCTGCAGGGACTGCAGCACGTGAGGCTGCAGGGACTGCAGCACGTGAGGCTACAGGGATCGCGGCTGGTGAGGCTGAGCAGATTACGGTAGGCGAGGTTTTACAGACTGCAGCAGTCGAGGCTGCAAGGACTGCAGCAGGAGCGACAGAGGCCACAGCGGGGGCTGGTATAGGGGGAGGTGCTACGGGTGCAGCGGGGAAGGGGGTAACGGGGACTGGTGCGAGGGAGAGTGCCGCCCCGGCTGTAGCAAGAGAGGGTACGGCAGGGGCCTCAAAGGCAGAAGGTGAGGCTGCAGCTGAAGCAGCAGGGAGGGCCATAGCACGGCCAGTAGGGGCGGCAGGGGCCGCAGCAAACTCGGGGAAACACACAGCAGGGCCGGCAGGGCCGGCAGAGACTGCAAAAGGGGCTAGCAGTAAAGCGGCAGCAGGCGGGGTGGGCTTGGGGGACATAGGGGCAACAGGGGAAGGAGAGGGGAGGGTGGTCCCGACCGGGGTGGGCACTGAAGAGGGGGATGTGATAGCGATAGAGGAGGATGAGGGAGAGGATGTGATGCACATTGACGGGCCACTGGCCCAATACCTCACGCTTGACGGTGAGGCCGACCCGGCCCCCTGCAGCCTCACGTCGAGGTTCCCCCTCTACCCCCCATGCCCGTCCCCATGCTAGCAGAAGGACCGATGGAGGGGCTGGGGGAGACCTTGAGGACAGAGCCGCGCGAGGGAGCCCCCATCCTCACCTCCCGTCCTCCAGCCCACCAGCCCCCAGGAGCACCACTTCCCCACCCCCACCCTCAGGTCCCGGTAGTGTCCAGGGGGGCAGCCAAGGCCCTGGCCTTCTTGGCGGAGCCGTGCTCCCCGACCCCCACGCTGCTCCATGGCCAGCCCCCCTCTCCGTCCCCAACGCCTGACCCCACGGTTGCAGGCGGTCCACCGGGAGAGCACGCGGGTGCGACAAGAGCAGAGTCACCCGAGGGCACCCCTTCTCTCACCTCTCACCCCTCCCCGCCCCTTCCCTCACTCCTTCCTTCACCCCCAAGGGCAGCACACCTCTGCCCCCACCCTCAGGGGCTCCTTAGAGCACCACGTGGAGCAGCCAGGGCTCTGGTCTTCCTAGAGGAGCCATGCTCCCCGACTCCTACCAACACCCAGCCACCCCTTACCGGCCCACTACCCCCTCCTCCACCAGGCCCCCCCCCACCCGGTAGTACACACATCTCGGAGGTTGAAGCATCTCTGCGGCCAAATCCCTCTCCCACACGCTACAGGCACCCAAACCACCCGAGTCGCCGCACAGCCCCAACACGCCCACCCAACAGGCTGCCCTCCCCACACCACCCCCCCCAGGCAGCCGAGACCCACCCGCAAGGGCTTGCGCCCCAGGCTCATGGGAGCGGCGGCACCCGGGTAGAGGGGCCCACAGGAGAGGCCACCACAGAGCCCACACAAATCTCTCTCCCCCCACCGTTTGTACCTCGCTCTAACCTCCACACTGGCCCAGCCCCTCGACCCCCACCTCCAACCCCCTCTCCCGGCCGGGTTCCCCACGAGTGGCCCCGTTGGGCAGCCATCACCCCCCACACACAGCTTGCCCGATCTGTTCCCACGGAGGGGGATGTTTCGAGGAGAGTGGGGATGCACACAGAGCACCCCCTGCCTGGCGAACCACCCATCCTCCCTCCACCCACCCCTTTGGCCCCACAGCCCCCCCTTCCTTCACAAACAGGCGCGGACAACCAGGTTGGCCGCCGGCGGAAGAACAGGGGCAGAGGAGGCAGAGGGTCAGCCCACGTACTCCCCCCTCCCTCCCTCCCCCACCAAGAGCCCCTCCCCACCTCACATCCCGTTGAACAATTACCAGGCCCTACCTCTACAGCCCGACCACCAAACCTACACTCCCGCCCCGCTCCTGCACCTCCACAGGGCCATGGGAGCGGACCAGCCCACTCACCCCCATTCTGCCCCTCCCCGTGCTGTGTCCCCCTCCCAGGTGGCGGCGGCCGCGATCGCTACTGGGAGGGGGGCCGTCGGGTTGAGGGATGCGCCCATGGCAGACGCCACCGACTCCCCCTCCCATCCCTCCCACCCCTTCCATGTCGACGACCCCCTACCGCAACCCATGGTGATTGGGGAGGGCCAAGGGGGCCTTCTAGGGCAGGGTCCACACCCGAGCTCCGCTCAGCCAGCACGCCCCACTCCACCCTCTACCCTGCCAGCCCTCCTACTCTCACCTACAGGCAGGCAGGTCTTCGAGACCCCAGAGGAGGTGAGGGCTGGCATTTCAGATTTGCTGGCGATACACCGCCTGAGCAGCTCTCCGGCTGCCCCCACCCTTCCAGTCCCACAGGACCGGACCCGGACGTATGCGGAGGTCACCCGGTCTGTCCCTTCTTTTATCCCCCCCCGCCACTCAGCCAGGCGCGTCACTCCCGACCCCAATGGAGACGGACCGGGGTCTGAGGCCGTGTCACTCGCACCTAGACGGGGTGGCGCCTCCCCCCGTTCAGCCCGTGGCGCAGGAGGTCACCAGCAGTAGGGATGAGGCATCCGCCCCTACCGAGACCCCTCCGCCTGGGGTAGCAGAGCCGTCACTTGAACCGCACCCCGCCGAGGGGCAGGAGCACACCACGGCACACACTTCAGGCTCACCTCCACGTCCCCCCTCCCCAGCTTCAACACCGGTACCGGCACGAGGCCCGGCCCTATCCTGTGCGACACCACCTCTATCTTCGCTGACACCCCCCCCGCGCGGGGCTGGTGAGTCGTCTCCTCCCCTCATCCCAGGCGATCCTGTCGGAGCTCAGGCCGCCCACGGGGTCCCCTCTACAGCCAGTTCCGACGCCACGGCCCCCGATTGACCCCGCCGACACGGCGACATCACCCGACCAGGTCGTGAGTTGCCCCACCTGCAGGAGCTCTCTCGCGAACCGACGCGCGCTCCAGCACCACATTCCCTTCTGCCATCCTGCGGACGCGGCTCGCAGGGCGCAGGCTGCCCATGATACCCGCCTCGATCAATCCCTTCCCTCTCACAGCCCCGTGCGACCGGGATGCAGTTCACCGACGCACAGTGGCAGACGCTCGACTCGGTGGACTGGACAGAGTACTTCTCGCCCGAGCGTATCCATACACGCCCTCTCCGACGTGTCCCCGGAGAGGGTCCGCGGAGGATATCTTGACGTCCTCAGTGCGATCCTAGTCCGCATTGCCCAGGACCCGGAGGCTGCTGGCACCTACCTTCCTCCTCGCTGCAGCGCCGACTCTTTTCCTTGTTCCAGCGACGCCACCCGACCGCTCGCACACGGCTGCCATTGCAACGCGCATCTCTCGCTTTGGTCGAGGTGAGTGGGCTGAGCTAGTCTCAGATGCACTAGGCCGTCGCACACCCCTTCCTCGCCGCACAGGTCACCGGTCACGCACCGCCACCGATCCCTCTGCAGCAGATGAGCGCCGCATTGCACGTTGCCTTCGTCTGGCAGCGTGCAATGAGACCTCACGGGCGTGCGCGGCTCTCGAGTCCGCGGAGGCAGCCCCAGATACACAGGGGACGATACAGCGCCTGCAGTCGAAGCACCCCAACGCGGAGAGGCCGACCCCAGCTTGGCTGTCTGGCTTCCAGGGGTCCCCTCTCGTGCTCTCGGTGGATCACTTACGCCGCGCGATTTTCACAGCTCCGCGGGGCTCTTCGGGAGGACCGTCCGGTTGGGTCGCTGAGCACCTGCGAGACACTTTCCTAGCTTTCCCTCAGAGTCTCCATTTCCTCCTGGCCGTGTACCAGCAGTGGCTCCGAGGCCGTTGCGCTCCAGCTGCGCGCTCCTTGCTAGCGTCCTCCACCCTCGTGGCTCTGGCGAAGTCGAACATGGATGTTCGGCCGATTGCCATCGCGAGGTTTTGGTCCGCATTCTTTCTCGGGCAGTTTGTCTCCAGCTACGTGACCAGATGGCGAGGGTCTTCTTGGCATCACAGCAGTTTGGGGTGGGGGTTACGTGCGGGACAGAGGTCGTAGTTAGAGGCGTCCGCCGCGCTCTGGCTGACCACCCAGACTGGGTGGTCCTGCAGCTAGACGTGGCGAATGCCTTTAACTCTTTCCACCGAGACAGGATGTTTCAGGCGCTGCAGGCCAGTCCGGAGTTTCAGTGTCTGATCCCCTTCATCGGCCTCTTCTACGGGACGCCCTCGGATCTCCACTACAGGTCAGGCACGGGAGTGGTCACGATGCACTCGGAGCGGGGCACTCGCCAGGGAGACCCTCTCAGCCCCTTCTTGTACGCTCTGACACAGCGTCTTGCTTTGGAGCCGGTTCTGGCGGAGGGGGATGTCCAGCTCTGGTCGTACGCCGATGACACGTACGTGCTAGGTCCCCCAGACAGGGTGCTGCACCATTTTGCCGAGATCGTGAGGCGCTTGGGCGAGATGGGCCTTGCAGCCCAGCCGCACAAGTGCCTCGTCTACCAGACAGAGTCCTTTCTGTCCAGGGATCTGGAGGCTTTCACGGGCCTAGGGATCGAGGTCGCACGCCGAGGGCTCACCGTGACAGGCGTACCGGTAGGCACCGTTTCGTTCGTGGAGCAGAGTCTCCCGGATCGTCTCGAGAGGATGGGGCGGGTGCTACCTTGGCTTCCGAGGTTGCGCCAGCCCCAGACAGCTGCCCGCCTTCTTTCGGCGTGTGTCAGCACTCGTCCGCAGTACCTGTCGAGGACCGTCCCTCCTTCGCCCGCAGTGATCTCCAGTTTTACACGGTGGGACGCACGCCTGGGAGA